GCAATGTCAATTAATAGTTCATTAAAAAGTTGCACCCCAATTCGTAATTAACGCAATAATTAACGTATCGATATTCCGGATTCGCGCGCATATCAGTCGACAAAAACGAGCAGCACCCTTAATGTCAATAATGTAAAGTGTGCGGTGGTAGGTGGATGTGGATGTGGAAGTCATGTGCACACATCCTGCGCGCGGTTTTTGTTTTTATTGCTAATTGTACGGCGTGCACGAGAAAAAAAAACTCCCGGTTTGCTATGATGCTGCGACCTGGAACCGACCTGCACGCGGGGGAAGCAACCGCGCCGAGGGGGCAAAAGCCGGGCGCGTTTCGGACAGGCCAATTAATATTTTATTCTCCCCCTCGCAGCCTAACAGCGTGTCGGGTTGATGTTGTCGTAAGGATTTTAATGATGCGACGTTTCCAAACGCTGCGTTTTTAATACCGCTTAGAAGTTGACGGGCGAAAAAAAGCACGCCAAAGACACGCAAAAACTGCGAATTAAGAGGCCCGCGGACGAAAGTGAAACATTAAAACCAACGCGCGATGAGCAATTAAAAGCCAAGCTCCATTCGGTTTTTTTTTTTACGACTCGCGAGAGCGGACTTTTTGCTTGCGGCAACAAAAATCGTTAATTAAATGATACGGAAGAAATGCGACGATGACGACTTCATAAAATGCTGCATCCACGGGTTCAAAAGTATCAATTAGCATCATCGCTGTGATTAAAATATAACAAAAGCGCGTAAAAAATGAAATGGACGGCGGAGGAAAAAAATTATTTGCTTAGAAACGCGAATCGCCCGTACGTGATTCACATTTTTCATTCGCTCCGCTTCCATGGTGCTTCCACTGCACGCGAGTTTAAATTGGCGCATATGAATTATCCTGCCGCGTGCGTGTCCACATATCCCTGGTCTTTGCGCTTACAAGTGGGACATAAATATTTTTTGCGCATTCTCTGCTCTCCGCCCCGGCGGACGCACGTAAAACCCGAGCCATACAAAGTGATGCTGACAGTAAAACAATAAAGCATATTTAAAACATTGAAATTCATCAGCAGTGCGCGAAGGCAAATCCGCTGGTTTGTCTCTGTGGCTTTCATGCCAACAGCTTAATTCTGACTTCGACTGCACCGTCGCGCTTTTGTGCGCGCTGCTGGTTTGCGAGCCTTTGAACACTCGGTTTGCGGTGGCGGCAAAGGATTTGCTCCCTTCGAATGCATTCCAGTATTCGGAATGTTTCAATGTTTCAATGTTCGAATAGCGGGTATTTGCCCTGCCAATGATGTATTGCCAGCGCAGATGGCATGAGCGAAATCGGCGTGCAGCGTATAAATGTACAAAACATCCTCGAATATGATCGCGCCGGAAATTGCCTCCTTGTTTTCGGCGACTTTGTGTCGTTTTGCACACGGCGCTCGAAAACGATCGGACGCGAAAGATCGAAATGAATTTCCACATGCCGAGTAGTTCAAGGCCGGCGCGGGTAATTTATCAAAAAATTACTTTTACGATTGTGCACAAAATAAATGACCAATTTAACCGCAGTTATTCCCCGCCCGCGCGGTGCAATAAAAATAACTTTTCCTTTCGTTGCGATTTTTCGACAGCGCCGCTCCCGACTAATCCGATCCGATAGGGAAATAGAGCGATTGGGAATAGGCGTTTAAAACGCGAGGGGCGGCGAAGTTCCAGCCGAAGCTTTTGCATCCAGGGGCCACATTATAAGATTTCGCCGACGTTTTCGAGCGTTGCCGAAGCGTTTCCCAATAAATTTTCCTTTGGGGAATAAGTCGACTAACTTACTGACTGGGATTTTCCCCTTTTCACGCTGGAGCGCCCGCCGCCGCTCGACAATGCGAAGCACGGGCGGCGGACATATTAGCGAAGCAACAAGCTTCTTCGAAACTACATGCGCGTACCTGCAAGTATACGCTTCAAGTAAATTGAAAGCCGTATTACCATTCATGTTTATAAACTCAAATCACAATCGGAGCGAGTTTGCGTCTTCGTAATTCGAAAATGGATCGCGTGGAAAGTCGGAGTCTTCGCGAGTGGACGAAAGTTTCAACTTCCTACAGCGACATTTCTTGCGAAAAAGAAGTTAGAAAAACAAGTCTTCACAAAGTTTACATTCATTACGCTCTGCTGTCTTAATAAAATCATTAATTAAATCCCGCCCGGGCAAATATTGAGTTCGGCGGCATTGTATTGAATTTTCGCAACTTACGAAACGAAAACTGCAAAGTTTTCCTCGGATTTCGGCTGCGGTTTACATCATGTACATTGTGTGTTGAAAGCGATATTTTGCATAAAGTTGCGCGCCGGTTTAATGTTACCATATTGCCGCGGCGAAAAGCCATTCTGCGCCGCAACAATGAGCGCACTTACTCTCGTGTTCCGCGCGACGAGCAGAAAGGGGCCAGAGGAGCGGAATGTAACAACTGTTTGCAGCAATCGTCGGCGGGAGTGCGTCGGCGGTGGTGGCGGCGGCGCTGCGGTGCGGCCGAAGACGCCGACGGCGGCGCATTCTCTGCGGCCGCACGCTGCCAGAACTAATATTGACTAGTTTAATTATTGCCGAGGTCGGATTAATTACGACAGGCGCGAGGCCATACCGCCCGCCCCGATATCGTCGCTCAATCACGTTCACGTTCCTGTCTAAGGGCTTTACCTTGTCAAAATTCATTCAATTCTATTTCAATCTCAATTCATTTACATTCTGTTCAAGTGCTGTATTACTAGGATACGCCTAATAATAGACCTCGACAATGCATTTATATTTTATATATTTTTGCGTAAAATGCAAATTTTAAGCACTTCTAAACACTTTGAAGGATAACGCGTAGATGCAAACGATAGAAACACTCATCCCCTTCAGAATGACAAAGATTGCACGAAAGTCTAACAAAAGAATCGCGAGATAAAGAAGATTTTCTATTGTGTATCTTGAGACTTTGTAAATGCTTTATACCAATCCGTTATACGTTTTTATTTACTAAGGTAACAACGCTGTTAAACTTATTATAAGCTTTTGATAAAATTCGTATTCAAAAACTACTCCGCTGCGTATTAATGTAATATTGATTTTTTTTTCGTGGGCGAAGCAAGTTAGAAAGTTGATATAACTCGATAACTAAGCGGCATTACGGTGCGTGAATGTTTGACAAATCACTCGGCTTGCACACGCGAAAACTTCGCTAATGCGCGATGATATCTCATGTAATATCTTGCCGTAGCAAACTATTGAAAGCACTTAGAAATTCCAAAGACATGTCGGCCAAGTTAGCGCCACCGCCGCTACAATACAATGTTTGACGTCGTTTAATTTACTAAATTGGAATAGAACGTGAACGGTCCAAATCCCCCAAGCAAACTTAGAAAACTTGCCCTGCTCGCAATTCATGCCAACCGCGTCGAAAAAATTCGATAATTTAATCCACTCGCCCTCACGGAAAAAAAATTAAGGTCGTACCTATTTATACTTCAACGTTGTAGCAAATAATCGAATTGAAAAATAGTCGGTTTTTGTTGTTGTTTGATGACAACATTGAGTTTGCGATGATGAATAGGCACGCAACTCAGCCAAATGGATATTACGAGTAGGTAACTTCTTTCGCCGTAAATCAGTGGTAAATTGGCGATTATTGATACATTCGCCGGCGTTTTTGCGGCCTCCTTCGCCGCGGCTGTGATTAATCGGCGCGCACATTTCATTTTCACATGTTTAGTGCATTACAAAACACATTACGCGCCCACATTGGAAAAGCTTTCACGGGCGTGGCGCCGCCGCCGTAAAGCCCGCCAGCGGCATGCCATTAGTCGCGGCTTGTGTGAAATCGGTTTATTAGCTCTTCGAATTGACGTCGTAAACGTTGCAACCGCTAGCAAATGACGCGGAGCGTAATCGTCGATTGTTCAACTCGGGCCGCCCGTTCTTCACGCCGGCATGCTAACAATGTTACGGCACTCCATTGTCACGCCAGGCGGGGGAGATAACGCGCTGGTGGCGCGGTTAAATCTGATCAAAGATAGATGGATGCTTCATTTGCATAATGTCTATGGAATTATTAAAGTCTTAAACGATGCTGAATGCGCATTAATCAATTGTTACGAACCTCTTCATTAACCGGCCGCGCTCGCATCGCAATAAACATCATCATCCTCAACAATTATCTATTCTCGTGTGACATGTCTCAAGATGTCGAAAATCTGCTTGTCAACGCTTTGTATTTTGGCGTGTTTAGTGCACCCATTGTATTTATTATCTCTCCGCTTCTTCTTAATTTGTTTTGTTCGCGTTTTTTTCTCGTTTTGTGTTTCGTGTTTATTCTGCGCGTGTTTATTCTCGCCCTACAAGACTTAATTAATGGCCGCCATTAATATTATGACAAAACGTTAAGAAGACGTCCGGGAAATGTCTCGCGAAAAAACACAAGGCGGCCAAAGGATAATGGAAGTAAAGAAAAATATAGATTTAATTGACGCTTGCTTGCCCCCGGGCTTCTGTAGACTGGCGCCCGGCGCCTCCACCCACAGGAAAAAAGCAACCACCTTCGCTTCGCCGCTGTAATAAAACACCTTGGCGCGTATCGTGGACAGGCAATTTTCGTTCTTACTCTTTGTCCAATCGACGCACACACTCTTACCATCGTTGGTGTATACACATGTCGTGCCGGCGCGACCGATTTGACGTGTGCTGGTGTAAATTGCACTCTCGTCGTTGGTTTTTGCGGGGCCGCTTGTTTTCGCCGTTCTTTGTTCTATTCTATTTGGACGTGTTTGCAGCAGGAGCTGGAGGATGGAGGCAGAGTTTGGTCAGCAAATTGATTACGCGACATTCGTCTATATCTGGCAGGAGCTGCGGAAAATTCCTGTCGGGCCAAATAGGCATATAACACGCGTAAAGAGTTTCGTGATTTATGACGCAGTTACGATAATTGATAGGGCGTAAAATTTTACAACTGCAGCGAAAGTTTCCTTAACTCAGACCAACACATGGTTCGAACGCATATCCATGATCATCATTTTACTCAACTGTATCACACTGGGCATGTACCAACCCTGCGTCGATGAGAAATGCGACACGAAACGCTGCCAAATCCTGCAAGTGAGTTGAAAAATTACTACATTTTAACACCGGAAATAAAATAAATAAAATCAAATATCATTGCAGGTATTTGATGACTTGATATTTCTCTTCTTCACCGTGGAGATGATGATCAAGATGATGGCGATGGGCATCTGGGGCAAGGGCACGTACCTGGCGGACTCCTGGAACCGGCTCGACATGTTCATCGTGCTGGCGGGCGCCGTGGAGTACTGTCAGGACATCGAGAACATCAATTTATCGCCGATAAGGACGATCAGGGTGCTAAGACCGCTAAGAGCCATCAACCGAATTCCCAGTGAGTATAACCGACATACAAGTCGACCCGGCGTTCAAGTTTCGATGCGGAGTTTCTATTCGGCCCTCATCAAAACCAGCAAAATTCTTGCCTGTCGTGTAATCGCTCTGTAAACCAAGACAAGTTTCATCTTTGATAAGAAGCTCGTGTTTCAAGATTGAAGTTGCCGGCAACTACGCATACTGTACGTTGCCATTAGGTCGTAAAACGTGCAAATAATCGTAGCTAAACACATATGTCATATCCGTGGAGTTTGGAGTTATCTCCAGTGAAAGGAAGAAAAAAAGCAGAGGATAACGATGAACTGAACGAGTGTAGGTTGAAAACGCTCGCAATCGAAGTTGACATAGTTCGGGTAGTTACACGCGACTTTGCGAGTCGGCAGCAGTCACAAACAGACGCCGGTGGCGGTGCAGACGTTCGAATAGTTGCCAAGAGATATGGTAGGCGGTGTGCGCAACGCTTGGCAGGTGTAATCTTCCGGCGGATCGACCGCGAGTTCACTACTTTGCTGTAAGTCTATGTCTGCATGTCGTATGTCCTTTGCCTTTGCGTGACTCCGAGTCGCTGGCGGTTGTTAAAGGTTGAGATTTCAACAGCAAAAAAAAACCGTGAAATTCCGCGTGCAAGTCTGATGATTGGGAAATATGTGAAAGTAGCGTGATATTGGATGGATCACGAGGATAACTCCCCCGTCGAAGCCCACGCAAGGTGTGCGGCTGCGCTGCGATCAGTTTCCCCGGCGAAATTGTGCGAAATATATGACGGCTTTCAGATTGACTAGTGCGCGCATAAATTTGCCCTAGATTGGATCGCAAGATGCGCGGAATCCTTTTCCAATTTGCCATTTTCAGGCACGTCGCGTGTTTTTTTTGCGCTTGCTTTAATGATTTAAGGAACTGATTTAAATACTAATTAATCCAGCCAAATTAAAAACTCCTTCACTCGCTGAAATTTGTTTGAAATTCAATCATAAGTTGCCTCGTTAATTAAAATTAATCACGTTTGTCAACGTCACTTAATTAGCGAACCATTAAAGCGATAAACCGAGGCGCAAAAAACCCGAGGCGCGCGCGGAATTATAAAGTTTGCGAACGCACGTTTCTAAGCGCGCTGAAGACGCGCAGAGGAAACGGGTAGGTGCGGAGCGTACACAAATGAACGCGCGGCCGTGAAAAATGCAAAACACGCAAACTTTTTAATAAGATTCGTCGTTTTGCTGGCGTGGACGCATCAAAAGCTTGCGCGACGAGAGACTTTTGATACGGTGGTAGCTTCCTCCATCCACCAGGCGTGTTTGCAAGCTCCTTCGTTATTTCTATTTCGCAGTTGTTCGAGAACCGAACTTTCCTTTGGTATTTTGTCCCGCGTCGCGCGCTCCATGCAGCACTCGTGCAATAGGCAAAGATGATTCGTTCGTTCGCGCGAGATTTGCGTTCGCGTCGCACTATTTCTCCGTTTTTCCATCTTTCCAAGTGCACTCGACGCGCGCGCCAAGCACATGTGCCAAGTACACCAAGGACTTGACATTTTTCACCCGTCGTCCCGACCTCGTGGATAATTTGCATACAGTGTCTGTCGAAACACGAAACATTAAACCACGAAAATATTTCAGGTATGCGAATTCTGGTCATGCTGCTGCTGGACACGCTGCCGATGCTCGGCAACGTCCTCCTGCTCTGCTTCTTTGTGTTCTTCATCTTCGGCATCATCGGTGTGCAGCTGTGGCAGGGCATTCTACGGCAGCGCTGCTACATACCGAAAGCATCTCATAACTTCACATTCCCATCGTAAGTATGGCGCTCGCTGGTGTTTGGAGATAATGAAATACTTAATGCAGAGTACATTCCATTTTGCAGCCGTCATTGCATTTATCACGTTTTGTGAGGCTAGGTACATTTTTTGACCGAACTGCGCGCCACGATTTTTACCACAAACGCTTCTTAAATTCAGTTTTAAACGATTTCATGCATTTTTTGCGGCGTCGCCCACGTTGGCGGCCACACTCATTCAATTTTCATTCAATTCTCGCTGTCCTATGAAAATATTATTACCTAGATTTGATATTTATATATATATAATAGTTGTGTAATATGAAGAATTCACGAGTTTTGATGAATGTATTTTATAATCTCCCTTGCAAGTTGTAGCCGCCGCGCGCCCCCATCTAAATGCCAATTTCTAGATGATCACATGTTGAATATGATTTGAATGAGGCCGGCTTACTTCTGTTGCAGGAATATATCGGCTCCGTACACAGTGCGAGTGCCTGTTACGTAAGATTGTGTAACGCACCCGTGCGCTTCTTTAATTTAGCGTCTTTTCCTCTTTTTCGATCTTCGTGCACACACACTCTCCACAGCCTCGCACCCACCCAGCGCTCCGCCCATCCACCCACGCGCGCGTTTTTGCATTCATCACGCCGAGTGACTCGCCACGCGCGATTCGTGCTAACGACAGTGATTCGTGTCTAATTCGAGCGGAACGAGCGCGTCTCTGTCTGCGGCCGACGCCGCCGCCGGCCTGCCGTCTCTCGGCGGCGCTAAATTTTATTATAGTTTTGCTTTAGTTCGCGTCGGCCGGGAGACAAATAAGTTTGCTGCGACGCCGCCACGCCGGGACACCTGTCAAGTTGGGAAAGTTAAGGCTTTCGTATTAGGATTCGGTCCATTAAATCGGCGAATCTCGCTGAATTATTAAGTGGTTTTATGTGTAATCGCCGAGAAAAGTGGATGAGGACGAGTGGCCTTCACCCGCACTAGCCGCACGTCGGCTCTAATATGATCTCGTCCAAAATTAGACACACCTACCGCAAAACCACCTAAACGTTGTTGTTGGATAACACAAATATTCCAATAATATTCTAAATAAACGTTTTTCCTCGTTGCTCGTTCGTGGAATGGCGTGCGCACGCGAAATGCGGGTCGAGAGCAGCGCCGATTGTACATCGAGAGCAATTTCCCCGCATCGGAAAATTTAATGGAATATGTCTCTATTGTCGGCGGCGGAATGTGAATGCGCGGCATTTTCGGTCGACAACTGCATAAGCGCTCCCTAAATGCGCGCGGTTTCCGGCTTCTTCGCGATGCCACGAGAAGCACACACTTAAGTTCGTTAAAATTTGCGCGCCGCAGGAATTGGTTACACGCGCGCGCGCAAATAGATTTTCCACTCTCGTCAATGGCTTTATGATTGCATTCATATTTTAATGAAGGAAACTTGACGGCGGGCGGGCGATATCATAATGGCGCGCTGCGTTGCACCGGCCGCCACGTTTCGATTTAATTGTAGTTATTTCAGATTGTAGGCATTCGGCGCGCATTGCGGCCGCGCTATTCATCATCAGCGCGGCGCGCGAAATTCAAAGCGATAAAATCGGTATTCATGCTGGGGAGTCCATAAAAGTAAAACACTGCCGAGCGTGTGTATTATAAAGTGAACTTCATGTTTCATATTCCGCAAGCTCGGCGTGAAACAATCGAAAAGTTTGTCGAACCGTTTTGAAATGTAAATGGCGATGTAAATGCGTATGGAAATTGATTTCCATTTGCACTGCCGCCACCCTCTGGCGAACACTTTCGGTTTAGTTTTTGTGCAAATAATGAAAAATGCATTTCGCCGCGCGCGCGTGCGGTTTGTGTTTATGTTGAAAAATTATTGAAATACAAACTTTCGGCGCGCCGACACGAAATTATTTCAATATAAAAAAAGAAAACGATTGCGGCAATTGCGCCTATTGTGTTGGAGGTGCCTCTGAACCGGACGAAGAAATACGGATGTACTTTAATTAAATTATTTTTTGCGTTGCGTTTTATATTCAATGGACGTCCAACTAGAAAGAAAAACAACCGAAACGCTTCTTTAGAATTTTCTGCGTGTGTATTGTATATGAAAAAAATGTTTTTTCCGCTTCGTCTCTTTTCTTGAGCAGTGCGCACATGGGCACCCGCCGACGATGATTGTTCTTCGTTGTGACGCACTAGGAGTACATGAGATGTTCCGCTGAGAGACGGAAATAGCAGTGCTCTTTTCGAGAACGATGTAAATACACGTCGAAATTGCGGAAGCCTCTCGCAGCTTCCGCTGGCGATGTTCGCTCTTCGATTGTCGTCGCGGCCGCGGACGAGCGCATTAAGACCGATTGAGACGGATCGGCGAAATATTAACAAACTTTTTCCACTCGAGCCTTCGCACACACAATGACGACGTCGGCGGCGCCCCCGACGCCCGCCACCGCTTCCGGCCGCGAATCGGTCATCGCATCGATTTTCAGTTCAGCGTCCGCCACATTGTTTGCCAACGCTTCGAGTGTTGTTGTTATGTTGATATTAAATACTTTCTGCGCCAACAATACGACGCTCATAATAAACTTGTGCACAATGACGAAGACCGAAGACAATATCAATACGTGCCGAGAACAAAAAGCCGCCGCGCGCGCAAAACAATAAACACCGCGGCAAGACCAGCGGCGGGAAAGAAAAATACAACTGCTCAGTTATTACAGTCAATAAAATTCAAGTTGAGCGATTGCATGCGACTGAACTGCGCGCGTATTATCCACTCGTTTTACTAATAATTCACCGAACAGACAACGCGCATAATAATAAAAAAAAAAGCCGTCAGCGGCAATATTCATTCGGAAAAGTGAAACAGTTTGCAGTTAGTGTGTGCGCTGCATTCATGGACTTCATTAAAGAACAATAAAAAAGTCCATATCCCGAATGCTGTGAAAAGTATAAAATTCGTTAGAAGGCCAGTCGGCGTGGCGGGCTTATGCAAATTTAATGAGTTTTCCATGTTTCATATTGGATTTGCGTCGGAGTGAAACTTCGGACGGGAAAATCTCCTCCTCCAGCTCAGCTCCGTGAAATTCTAAACTGAAGTTTATCCCTTCACCGATTTCAATCAGTCTTAATTCTTTAACTTGTGCTTGTTGGTGGTCTGCCTGGCATCATTTCTTCTTCACTTCACTCTTGTATTCTATTCTATACCCCTGGTGTCTTATGTACGTGTACGTGGTGAATGAGCATGTCGGAAAGGGACGCAATAGGCAACTATTCGTCTTCACTCTGTTCTGTGGGTTAGAAATCTCTGGTTGCATTCGTATAAAAATCTTCTTGTGTCTAAGCATTCGTTCGTTTGTGTTGCGCCCCCCCTCACCCTCATCTTATGTTACGTTCATTTGATTTCGATTTGTTTCACATTCGATCACTCGCCCGCGACTGGCGACTTTACCTGTTGACAGACGAATGAAAATGAACGAATTCGAAAAGGATTTCTTCGCGGAACGAAACGAAATCATTTTCAAAATTAACCATCTCTAATCAACTCTATATGACTGTGACTAACACCTCGTCGTGCCTAATAATTTTCTGTTCGCCGATGGTCATCCGGATGCTAATCGGAGTGATTGTGTTTCAGAGACTTGTCGTTGTATTTTTCCATCTCCCAGGAGCAGGACTTCATCTGTAGCAAGAACGATCACAGCGGCATGCATTACTGCAAAGACATACCACCTTACAAAGAGGGCAACAAGACTTGTCACCTCACCTACGAGGAATACATGAGTAATCAAAGTGGTTGCATAAACTGGCACCAGTACTACACCAATTGCCGGGATGGCGAGAAGAACCCTTTTCAGGGTACCATCTCATTCGATAACATAGGCGTGGCGTGGGTCGCAATTTTTCTGGTAGCTTCTCCCTGAAACTAATAACCAGAACATAAAATTTAAACAAATACTTTTTATGCATAGGTGATTTCTTTAGAGGGTTGGACTGATATAATGTATTATGTGCAAGACGCGCACAGCTTCTGGGATTGGATCTACTTCGTCCTGTTGATTGTGGTGAGTGTGCATTCGTTGTGGTCTTAATATCGTTGACACCCGCAATCCATCATCGTCTCAATTGCGCGCGCGTTTGTATGCAGATTGGTTCGTTCTTCATGATCAACCTGTGTCTGGTCGTCATCGCGACGCAGTTCTCGGAGACAAAGAAACGTGAGATGGAGCGAATGCGGATGGAGCGCGCCCGATTCCAGAGCTCGAGCACATTGGCGTCGAGCACAAACAACAGTGAACCAACAAGTTGTTATGCAGGTACGTAACAAGCCTCAGAAGTGCACCCGCGCGAAAGTAATAACATTTATGTTCCAATGAATTCATAGTCTTAATTTTAAAAGGGAGCCTGATGAAATGTTTGTTTGCATTGTTCCAATGGCACTTTGTACTTACCATATAGATACAGAAAGTTGGCATACGAGTACTGTGATTTTATGTTGAGTGCAGAAACAATTCCTTTTACATCGCTGCGAAGTAGAAAATTCTTGTTAATTTACTTTACGAGCACGTGTCGCAATTCAGTTTTTTCATTACCTTTCCTAGGGTTGTTCACTGTCCGCACGGCGTCCAGATATCCCTAACGCCTTGCATTCCACATACATTAACTGTCGTCGTTTACTTGCAGAAATTGTAAAGTACATCGCGCATTTATGGCGACGCGGCAAGCGTCGGATCATCAAAAAGATACGACTCATAAAAGATAAAAGGAAGCGAGAGAACGAACGCAAAGTCATTTCGGGCGAGACGATTCGACTTAATTACAACAAACGACACCATCCCAGCTGTCCCAAACTCTTGGTAATTTATGTTTTATACTTACACATTGTATGTGATTACAACGCCGATTCTACCACTCCCAATAAGACGCATTAACTGTGGGATAGTAAAATCGGTATTGTAATTAAACTGATGTGGATTATATGAAAACCATGACCGATTATCCAGCAGCATAAGAGTGATCCCTCGCTGATACATCAAGGCATCTCGGGTACACCAACCAGCTCCATTCCGCCGAAAGAGAACGACAACAACAGCCGCTCATCAAACAAGGAGAACAAAGATGAAGATCCCGACTCGACATCCATCTCCATCTCGATGGGTGTTAACCAGAACTCTAAATCAAGCAACAACAACGAGGTATATGCGTGTTTGGCCCTAGGGTACCTAAAACTTTCATTAGTTATCTGGTGTGCAGAACTCGGAGTTGTTGACACCCCAGCCGCAACGACGACGTTCATCGGTGTTGTTCAGCGAAGTGGTCGTGTACCATGGCGGCAGCAATCCGGTGGCGGCCAGTCCCAACTCCTCATCAAACGCGGTCAATCTCAACGTGGACAAGAAGAATATAATGTCAATTGAAAAAATGACACAAACAGGTGAGTGAAATATCAATACTTACGCTCAATCTTCCGCTTATCTTCCGGGTGATCAGAAGTCTGGAAAGAATAGAGAATAAAAACTTGCCGGCGGGATATCCGAAGACGTTAAAGTGCTCGTCGAGTTAATCCGGCTTAGAGATTAAAAGCGCTCTCGATCTTCGACGAGTGGCTTACGAGTCGTTCGCAGCAATTCGCGCAAGAAGTTCATGTCCACTCACACCATCCGCAATCGGCGGCAAATGCCTGCTGATGCGATCTCCTACTACCATTCGGCACTTAGTGACTCCACTCTCGCGTGCGCGCTGCCGCCAAACAATGAACGGTGGCACTCTCGGCCGGCAGTTAAGGGTCGCTTGTTTCCCAACGACCAATTTATAGTATCGACAATGCATACCAACACTTACATTATGCGCGGACGTCAAATCAAAACCTGAATATTTCTGAATCAAAATCAATGAAGCCAAAACATATTTTTCCACTTTAGGTGAAGGTAACATTTGGCAGATTTCCTCCACGCCTACACCTCAACAGATGATCCATACTCACTGTTTCCCGCTGACCAAAGGTGAAACAATGACATGCCAACAACTCTTGGCTCTTGGGGGGATCAACGCTGCATTACCCACTGGTCATGGGTTAGACCTGATCTTCAGCTCGTTGTCCAAAGGCAGTAAACAAAGCGATGATGACGTTTTCTTCCAATCACTGGATGACTACAGCTGTTGTCAGGATATGTGGCATTGTGAGGCGGAGTACCGCAATGCCACCCGCTCCAAATGCTACGTGATCACGTGCCTCACCATCAAAGCGGTCCTTCGCTTCCTGAGCACCGTGCGACGTGCGATTAAGATCCTTGTCGAGCACAAGTACTTCCAGCAGAGCATCCTTGTTGCGATTCTCATCAACACCTCATCAATGGGTATCGAGTACCACGACCAGCCCAAAGAGCTGACTTACGTCGTCGAGACGAGCAACATCGTCTTCTCGGCGATCTTCGCCGTTGAAATGCTGCTGAAAGTTATCGCCGAAGGGCCCTTCGGCTACGTGTCGAACGGATTTAACGTTTTCGACGGCGCAATTGTGATTTTAAGGTAAGAGCGGATCATAGGATTGCGGTGGGATTTTCTAGTCGGGCATGGGAAAAATGCGCACGGATTTGTTATTGTTTTCGTAGTAAAGTATATAGCGGACGTGTGGCGTGTGCGCTGATCGAAATCCGCAACGTGTCGCTGATTTTTTCCCTGTATGTGCATTTATTTCTGCAGTGCCGTGGAGATCTTTCAAAAGTTCACCGGCGACGGGCAGGGCGATTCCGGGCTGTCGGTGTTGCGTACGTTCCGCTTGCTACGCATACTGAAACTGGTCCGATTCATGCCCAATCTGCGCCGCCAGCTCTTCGTCATGCTACGGACGATGGATAACGTGGCAATCTTTTTCTCGTTGCTCATTTTGTTTATTTTCATATTCAGGTAAGACAATCTTTCGCTACATCGCTCAAATCGGTTATCCGAACAAATGGCGCGGAGACATGCAGGTCCGTTTAGATATTGATTCGTGTCGCAAAATGCAATTCGAGCTGCACCGAACGAAATTCTGTAGAGAAAAGAATGAAACATCAACATAAAATCAAACTATTAAATCAAACAGAGGAAACTTATACTCTCCCCCGGCCCAAAAACAAAACAAAACGGGATAAATTAATGACCGAACAAAAGACATGATCAAATGGTAAAGGGTGGCAATTCGATAAAAGCCGATTGCCATTTCCAATTGAACTAATCTCGATTGCGATAAATTCTGACTTGATTCGATAAATACGTGAATAATACTTGGAATATTTACTTACTTACTTTGATACTTGACTTATTACTGTACTTCCACTTTACTACTACTCGTACTCTTCTTATTACTCGTTATTACTGTTTGTTTTCATTTACCACGAAATTTTTCATATGTTTTACCTGTACTCGTACTTGAACAAACTTTTTACACAACAAAAGCAAGCCCAGCGCCAATGCCACTCGTTCTCATTCACCCATGATCTCACCAGTTTGACCACTTTCAGTTTGATGCATTCTACTTTACAGATATTCATGCATACTAGACAAACGAATTTTCTAAATCAGCCCATCAAATAAACGCACAGACTTAAAACCACAATCAAAACTGAACAACATGCCATTAAAACAACAACTGGTTGTACCAGGAATAAATAAATACAAACATGACCTTTGATAAAAAAAATCTAACCGATAATCTTAATTGACTGACCCGCGCTGAATTTGTTCTAATATCTATCGATCACTTTAACATCGGCGTGGAATATTTGCGTTTAATTGTTGATGACGTTTGATTGGTATTTTTCTAGCATATTGGGTATGAACCTATTCGGTTGCAAGTTTTGCGAGAAAAGTGAGAAAAATCATGATGGCAAATGTCCGAATAACGAAGACGAGTTCAAAGATCGGAAAAATTTTGACTCACTCTTATGGGCGATTGTTACCGTCTTCCAGGTACATTGACTTTCAAACTAAAACCAAGCAACCTGTTTTGTTTTTTTCTTTTTCGTTTTGTTGTCTCGTTGTCGAAGGACTAGCAGAGAGGAAAAACGGACTGAGCAAAAGTCGTACCGAAAGCAGAACGCATTGTAGACACTTTCATTGCGATAGCTGGAGCTGGAGATTAACCCCCAGGCGCCTAACCGTTAACGTAGTCATTTCATTTTCGATTAACAACAACGTTCATTTTTGCCAATTACGTAGTAGTTCAGTCATGTATAATTTCGTAACAAAGTTAACAGCAGCCCGATACCGAGCCGGTTGCACATTTTGCAAAGCCAATGTAAATATAAAGCTTTCCCTATTAATTTCTTACTTACTATTACGAGATTTCGCTTTGCTGCAATCGCCGCCTGCGATTTACGCTGTCAGCAGTACTCACGACGTTTTTTAAAATATCTAAATCCTAAAGGTAAATCTAATGCGACCAGGTACGTACATATTTCTTTTCTTGTTTATTTTTTGAGTTGACGAGTTCATATTCTCTGTTCGTTTGGGTTTTAAGATATATCTCTCATTCGACTATTTCTCATTGTCATGGTTATTGAATCATCTGCCGAAGTATACCTGCATGCGTTTTTTGATACTCATTACTGCACCATTAATTGCACACTTTGATCCCACTTGCATTCGAACATTCTTCCCAGTCTGTCTTTTCGAAGTTTCTTATGAACTGACGGATTGCGCATTGTGCAAGCTGCATCTATCGATTGTGTCCCCCAAATTCTACTTTTACTAACTTTGTATACTATTGTGCTGTTACCTACCGTTTTGTTGATTTTAACTTTACTTAATCTTCCAATTGATTGCAACTACAACTAAACATGATCGTAACGAATCGCTTCTAAAATTACCTATATTAACGCAACATGTGAATCTCTCTTGATATGAACGCAACATTAACCGAAAGAAATACTCATTAAACGATAAACCGAATAACAATAAACCGAAACCGAGATGTTTCCGCAACCATAAAACGACAAAACAACTTACAAAAATAGCTAATAGTTTTTGTCACCCTTATACCATTTGTTAATTACCATTTACTTTTAGCGATTTAGTCGATTGTGTCGTTAGCTTTTATTTCGTATACGTAAACAAGTAATTTATTAATATTATCAGTAGCGTAGGCGTAGGCGACATTCTCACATTTTCCACACATTGTAATCTTTGACGAGTAGCTAGAGCCTAGTTAGCGGGCGCCAGTAATCGTAGCTTTTGAGAAGAGCAAATCGCACACGTACCTCGTATCGAATGGCAACAAAGTCGAATCTAGTACAGAATATACAAGACAAGAAAACGTTGTTTCGAAACCGTTGCCTTTGTTTTTTTGTTGATCACTGGTATTTGTACATGTGTTATGTAAATATGTGATACTGCTACTCGTATAACATCGTGTTTGTACCTTGTCTGACGTATGATATTTGTATCTAATTTTGTGTGTGCGTGCGAGTCGAATTTCTTTGAGTTGCGATTTGCGATTTTTTGATTTCGTTCGTTTCCTTTGAGTTTCGTTTCGTTTGTCTTACGTACCCTTTGTGTACACGTATTACATTGGTATCGTTCGAATTTTTGGGCTTGTTTGCGTACTGCGTGCGTGTTTTACCAATTTTTTTGCGTCTACACACACAGTCGTTATGTCAAAATGTATGCGTGATTTCGTTTCGTTGTGTTTCTTTTCGTTTTGTCTTAATCTGAGGAAACCAACCAAACAAATGCTTTTTGTTTTTGTCCATTCGAACAGCATCCTTGGCATGTACTTGTTTGGGGGTAAGTTTTGCAAGTACGTCGGCGACGATGGCGTAAGTAAAGAGTGCACGTGTCAAATGATCGTCGAGCAGGACAAGCGGTGCGAGTGCGATCGGAAGCACTTCAACAATATCCTCTGGGCGACCGTCACCGTTTTTCAAGTAAGATCGAAACCAAACCGATACCAACATGTTCATCAACACCCTCCACCCGCCGGCTAGCCGATGTCATTGCTCATGTGATCGTGTATTTGGACCGCATCATCTCACCATCACATCACTCATCTTAGCTTTCATTAATTCTAATTGAACTAAAAACGTTCGCTTTCACGATTTTGTTGTACGTAGTGTAAGCTCAGCAGAAAACCTTTCAATTTAATAACATTTTCGGCGAGCGCCTAAGGAGCTTATTGCCAAGCCAAACGGATGTGTCCGTCTCGCGCTCCTTCAAAATTTTCCACCAAGTCCAAGTTGTGCTATTGTTCGCGCCGGCACTATAAAACTCGAAAACTTCCGAAACTGTTTTCATAATAAGCTCTTTATTTCTCGCCGTAATTGAGAGATCGAAAGTTTGTCAACGTGACTCAGTTGGAACGTTAAATTCAGAGGTTTTTGTTCTGTTTGTTCCGTTTCCTTCTCAATGCCCACAATGCCCGCCCCGGTTCTAACACTGACATCTCCCGCACATAGATCTTAACCCAGGAGGATTGGAATATGGTGTTGTCAAACGGCATGGCCAAAACCTCCCATTGGGCCGCACTGTACTTTGTCGCTCTGATGACTTTCGGCAACTATGTGCTTTTCAATCTGCTCGTTGCCATCCTCGTGGAGGGCTTCAGCTCCGAGCGTAACGAGCGCCGTGAGCGCGAGCAGCGTGAAATGGCCCGGCGAAAGATGTCCATGATGGACCAAAGTGGTCGCGAAAGTTCCGACGAAAGCAGTCGCTCCATATCGAGCTCCTCGTGCAACAGCTACCACAATAATGTGAGTTGTGAACTTAATTCACTTACAATGCACTACTAAACCCGGATATGCCCGCAGCAGGAAATGAGGCATTACTCGAAATCAGCGGAGGAGCTCCGGAAAGTGAAGCACACTAATGGTCAGCAGTGCATTACCGACTGCCGCGAGTTCCCACGCGAGTGCTGCCCGCTCAATTTGGAAATTGATCCAAAGTGCAACATTCAGAAGGAGTCCAAGATGATGAAGAACGCGCAGGTGAGGTGCTTCCGCGAAATAACACCGCGCTTACGTGCTAACCCAAAATGCCATGCCAATGTTGCGTTCATCCGCTGATGCGTTTGTTTGTTGTTTTTTGCTGTTTTAAAGGTGTCTCCGCCAGTAATAACACACACAGCAGCAACACCGCAAGACTCTCCCAGCACCACACTTGACGACTTTCCCGAATTCCGATACAGTATCACACACATTTCCGGCGACACGGCGATGTCCAATGAAATTTGCAATTTCCCGAATTCGTCTAGTAATAACTCAAGCAAATCAGTAAGATGTGGCTTTGTTTGCTTTCCACCGAGCGCTTACTAAACCTAGCACACTTTGCCCCACAATTTTCAGACCTCTAGCATGCCCGGCCTGCTGAAACCGCCGAGTCATCTCTCGCCTCCGCAGATGATCTTCCGACCATTCGACGCGCAACCCGCCGATCCACCGACTGCATCAGCGAAAATCATCACGCATAACGAGCGTATTGGTTCAAAAATTACCTCGTATTCGGAGAAGGTCGGACCGGCAAAATCCAATGACAAGGCGCGCCTGCAGCGGAAAACATCTTGGAAATTGGGCTCACGTTCCAGCCTGAAGGTGCGCAAGAAGAACCGCAGCGTAAGCGATTCAGAGGCGATGCCGCTGAATAATGGACGAGGGCAGGAACACGACCTGTGCAACGGCGGCGGCGTCACCCGACACGTAAGTCTCCCCTTTCCGGCCCGCACTGATCACCTAATGCACCCACTCGACTGTTGCGGCAATCAGGGCAGCCTCCGCAACGACCTGCTGCAGTCCTCCATGCGCATCCAGAACGACACGCAGACGGACCCGCCCAACAACCGATCCCCCCGTGGTCTTAGCCCACCGAACGCCATCCGCCTGCGTAGTAACACACAGTCCACCTCAAACACGATGCGCCCCAACTCGTTGCTGACTGCCTCACAGGTCAAACTGGAGAACGACGCGAACATGCGACTCAGCCACAAGTCCATCAACGAGGCGCACGAGAAGCCCGACCCCGAGAAAGCCCTACCGGTCATCTGCATGGAAGAATGCGCGGAGGGAGCGCGATTATCCACCTCACCTCCAGCAAATGTCAACCGAATCAAACGCGTGCTCAACTACCTCGAGCCCAAGGGTTGTATGAAGGAACGCGATGATTACTCTCTGTATGTTTTCGCTCCTGCAAACCGCTTTCGGCGTTTCTGCGCATGGTTCGTGGCGCAGAAATGGTTCGACAATGTGGTGCTCCTGTTTATCGCCCTAAACTGTATCACGTTGGCGATGGAGCGGCCTAATATACCGCCCGACAGTCCAGAACGTCTCTTCTTGTCCACTAGCAATTATGTTTTTACCGTTGTATTTACCTTGGAGATGTTCGTAAAGGTGGGTCTCAACCGGTTTTAAATCAATTTAGCCGGAAATAAGGCGGAATTCTGTTGCAGGTTGTCGCGTGTGGAATGTGCTATGGAACGGATGCGTACTTCACCTCCGGTTGGAACATTATGGATGGTTCATTAGTTATAATATCGATTGTCGACTTGCTAATGAGTCTAATTAGCGAGTCAAGTCCTAAAATATTTGGAATTTTAAGGGTACGTTAATTAATCATTCGGCACGCGCCGCATTCTAACTGGGGGCCTCGTTTATTTCGCAGGTATTTAGATTGTTAAGATCGTTGCGTCCATTACGAGTCATCAACCGAGCACCGGGACTAAAGCTCGTCGTTCAAACACTTCTCTCCTCGCTGCGCCCCATCGGCAACATCGTGCTGATCTGCTGCACGTTCTTCATCATTTTCGGCATTCTGGGAGTACAGGTGATTGAGTCTGGCGTCTGGTATGGAATCCGAGGGTGATGCTTGAATGTTGGTTGCTCTTTCAGCTCTTCAAAGGCTCGTTCTACTCGTGCAAGGGGCCGACCGCGCCTGGCGTACGCAATAGGACGGAGTGTGAAGGAAGGGGTAATAAATGGGTCAACCAAAAGTACAACTTCGACGATTTGGGAAAAGCGCTGATGTCTTTGTTCGTGCTGAGCTCGCGCGACGGCTGGGTGAACATAATGTATACGGGTCTAGACGCCGTCGGCGTCGATCAACAGGTAGGATAAATCGATTCCGGCGTGCCGGGCGTTACTCACGCCCGAAACCCGGCACATCCTCGCCGCCAACACCGCCACCACCACCGGCAAGGGATTTTCCACCCTTCGCGTATTTTCCTCCAATTCCTTCGAAAAACAAACTTCTCCCCTGACGCTCGAGAAAAATGAAAACTTTTAATAAGTTTTCATTTGTGATGCCACTGCTAATTGAAATCAATGTTTCAGCCGCAAATCAATTACTCCGAATGGCGACTGCTGTACTTTATATCGTTCATTTTGCTTGTCGGCTTCTTCGTGCTGAACATGTTCGTCGGCGTCGTCGTCGAGAACTTCCATCGCTGTCGCGAGGAGCAAGAAAAAGAGGAGCGCGTCCGGCGCGCTGCCAAACGCGCCATTCAGATGGAGAAACGACGCCGAAGTAATTGAATTATTTGATAGCCCAAAAACGCACCCGTTTCCATTGCCAATAACAAACGATAATTATAAATTAAAACTCGTTCTTTCTTGTTTGTCCCGCAGAAATGAACGAACCGCCCTATTACATCAACTACTCCCCGAGGCGACTCTTCATCCACAACGTGGTGACTTCGAAATACTTCGACTTGGCAATCGCGGCCGTGATTGGCTTGAATGTCGTCACGATGGCGACGGAGAGCTACAAGATGCCCGAGATTCTCAGCTACATACTAAAGATATTCAATTACTTCTTCACGGCCGTTTTCATCCTGGAAAGCACCATGAAACTAATAGCGCTGGGATTTGTCCTCTATTTGAAGGACAAATGGAATCAACTTGATGTTGTTATCGTTATTCTATCAGTAGTCGGAATTATTCTGGAAGAATTGAAGAGTAATATCATCCCGATAAACCCGACGGTTTTACGGGTTATGAGAGTAATGCGCATTGCACGGGTGTTGAAATTGTTAAAGATGGCGAAGGGTATACGCGCTCTTTTGGACACCGTGATGCAGGCGTTGCCTCAAGTGGGTAACTTGGGTCTGCTATTCTTCTTGCTGTTCTTCATATTTGCAGCGCTGGGTGTGGAGCTGTTCGGGAAACTAAAGTGCGACGATGAAAATCCCTGTCAAGGTAAGTGTGTTATCAGTACGCGCCGGCACTGCAGGAAATCGGCATGAAATTGTTTCAGGGCTGGGCGAGCACGCCGACTTTTCCAATTTCGGGATGGCTTTCCTGACGTTGTTCCGTGTCGCCACCGGCGATAACTGGAACGGCATCATGAAAGACACCCTGAGAGAAGGATGCGAGAGTGATGCCGATTGTGTGAAGAACTGCTGCATCTCGCCCGTGATCGCCCCGATCTTCTTCGTCATCTTTGTCCTGATGGCACAATTTGTGCTGGTCAATGTCGTGGTAGCAGTGTTGATGAAACACTTGGAAGAATCTCACAAACATCTCGAAGACGAGCAGGATATGGACAATCAACTGGAACGCGAGTTTCAGGAAAAGCAAGAAATGGAGGAACGCAGGGAACTCTGCCTGGCACTGCAACTCGATTCCGAAATGCTTCAACCGAATTACAAACCGCTCACTAAAGTGCTCTCTCTGCCTTCCAACTTTATCTATATTCCTCCCGGAGCTGCCTCGTCGATCAACAGTAACAATCACAGATCCCGGGTGCCTGTACGCAGACAAACGGTACATTCCCAGCAGCCGATTATGTTGTCCACCTTTGATGACTTCAAAAACATTGATGACTCACAATCGGAGATTTACAGCAAGAATAATGAGAATAAGAATCTTCTTGGGCTGGAACTAAAGGTGACTTGCAGTGATAGTATACTGAAACGCAGCAACCAGGGCCTAAATGAGAACCTGCTGCCGATTCCGAAGGACGAGCACGACAGCAGTAATTTCCGGCGGCTCTATGGCAGCACCAAGCACCTGTTCATGAAACCCTCGTCTTCCCCACCCAAGGACGTCACCGAAGAGACGCCTTTCCTGCAGCCGGAGTCGCAGATCAAGATCCCCAAGCACGACTCGCAGGAATCCGTGCAGCGGATCATCACCGAACGACGCAAGATGGACGAAAGTCTGAAGGATGTCAACGAGTACGATATCTTCGACATCAGCAATGGCAGTGAGGAGCAGCTCGTTGACAGTGAACCCGCCGAACGCATCGTTCCATCGAACTCGAGGTAAAAGTTGCGAGTGGAGCAACAAGTCGCCGGATCAAATAAGCAATAATTGACCAACGTGTATTTATCGTTTCATCTAAGCCCTTTCAAGCGCCAGTATTGCAATGCGACTGCAGAGGAACAATTAAACATGAGCAGCACTTATTAGGGATTTGACTAACTCATAGAGTACTTATAATGGCGAACAAATTGACGGAGAGATTTAAACAATGTTAGCTAAAACAATGACTTATTAAATTTAGATGAGAGACATGTCTTAAACATACACACACACACACGCAACGTGTTAATTAAACTATTAACGATCAAACAAACAAGGAACTTGACAAAAAAAACGAATGAATAAATTTCGACAATCTTAAACTAGCCTTCTCGTTAGAGGATACTGTATAATTTTAGATTTGTTATGATTAAAAACGACTTTTAACAAAACCAAACGCAATTGGCAAACAAATAATTACTCTCTCACTCACGAACAAAGGTAGATTCCATTCTTGCAAGCGCCTGTAGTACCCAGACTATCAGCTAATGTACACTCACCCGTTGTTTGGGACATCGCCACACTTCACTCACTTAGAGATTAATTAGTTCGTCTTCATGGCCTACAACTAGAACAGGGTACTACTTTCATCAAGTAATTTTTAAACACGAAACAATAAAATTGAAGCGGCACTAAACGACCGAATAAAATGATACCAAACACGTGGCTGTAGCTGATAACGTAGTCACGTAGCACGGACAAATAAACGTTAGAAACCTAACTGAACCACAATGAAACTGAAAACTGGAATTGTATTAGTTCAACAATCAAAGCGCCTAGCGAGCGACTTATTGCCGAACGTTCACGCATGCGCACGATGGGCAAACACACGGAAAATACATTTTCGGGGCAGTCTGTGATATTTTAGTCCCTTAAAATGTTAACGCCACCTGAATACCCGTTAATAATTAATTAATTACTCCAGGGAGAGCTAGGAGGACGTAGAGCCCACATAGAAAGACAACGGACCGAAAAAGCGGAGATTGGTAAATAAACTATTGAAAGAATTTATTTTGAAACGTTGAGCAAATCTTGATGATTATTGTTTTAGATAAATATATATACAACATATACATGTACCTTTAACTACTCATAAGCAAGCAGGTTGATGGCAACTTAATTGCAGCAGAACTTTCCACGCAATTCTGTTTCACGTTCATGAACAAGCAGGAATTGCCTGTATCAGGTTGTAGTCTTATTCTTTGTTCGAATCACACCGATTTCTCCACAACTACCAAAATTTCTAAAGTAACTGTAACAGACGTAATGGTCACTCGTTAAAGAAATGTCTATATTCTTATTCTAAGATGATAAAAAAGGTCTATATATATATATAAAATGGAACACTGTGTCAATTCGATGTTTTGTTATCTTTTGACTCTATACTATAGCTATATTCATGTGAGTAATCTATCAAATGCGGCGCGTTTGGTGTAACTACTCAAACGTGAAGATTCTCCCCGTGCCTTTCCTCGTCTTTGAAAAACAAAATGAAAACTTTTGAGAATAACGAATAACTCAGCAAACGAAGCAGCCGACGAACAGCTCACCAAAGAATAAGAAACTCCTCACGTGTTGTTTGTTCTCTAATAGTTTTCGTGTTTAAATTCATTGTGATCATACTGAGTAATTGAGAAACTAAAGCTAATGCAGAGTAACTAAAGGTAAAACAATGTAATTATTCAATTTTAAACATGAGAAGAAACAGTTAGATGTAAATGTAAATTTAAACGTCATCATTACAATAAAATGATAAACAAAGCACAACCACTGGCAGCGTATCAATCACAGCAGAAATTGACACAGCCGATAAATCACACACACAAACACATAAAGAAAAAAAAACAAGGAGATTAAATTAAAGTTTAGCAAGATATTTATGAACAAAATGATGTTAAGTATTGTAATAGATTATTGAAGGAAGGGAAAATACAATGAAACACATGGAAAATGTGGCAAACAAAGATTGAACGAGACACAATCGAATCACTTGTACTGTATACGCTACGCAGCGGCAGTAAATCGTAAAAGAAACCAATGTAAATCGTAACGTAATTAACTGTAGAGCATCTTGTACTGTTAACTGTTAATCCTGTACTGTTAACAGAAGCAAAAGGCAAAAAAAAAATACAATGTGAAATAAGATATTTTAAATCGGACGTAAATAAATAATCAGGTGTGTATTCATTAATGAAATCAATTGCAGAGTAACGTGCGATTGCTAGCTCTTAAAACTTTAGTCGTTGATATTTGTGGTTACGAAGATGTGCAACGTAAATCCGTAACAATAAACTAAAAATCAGACATATATATATGCGGTTGATTTCGCGTTCAGTTGGCTGTCAAATACAAATTCGCGTTTCGCTTGCGAGAGCTGTGTTGTTTCGAATTTCGTTGGACATAAAGATTACATACTGATGATGATGATATATTTTGAATATAAGTCGTTTCAAATTGTGTAGAATATGAACGTACGTTTGTTGAATTATTGATTCTCTAATTGCAGTAAGAACGAATAAATGTATTCTTCTAGTTTTCTAAATAAATTTGTTTCTGTTGGGGAGAAATACATCGCTTGCACTCATCACAATCCCACCAACATAAATCATAATGTTTTGAAAAAGAATTCGCTCATTTTACAAAAATTAAATAGAACATTGTTTTAATATACATATTATATAAATATGTGAACTATAAATATTTATTATAGAATATGTGGTTGTCAACATCAATCACTACACATCTTTTAATATAAAACGAACATTAATAGTAGTAATACGTATTACAATCAATCGGTGCTCAAAATGAAACTCAAAAATGTCCATAATTGTAATTTAAAGTTGGAACTCATCCCGCCGAAAAAAAACAAACAAACCGATAGCATTCAATGTTATTATATAAATATTTTTGAAATACACTGGGAGTCTCCCTGCGCCCGTCTTCAGCTAGATGCAAATGCACGCGTTCAAATTTTGTTTCGGTGGCTTTTAAAATATCATCATCGATTTTTCTTTCTTGGGCAGACTAGAAAATAATATGCAATTTTTGGAAACAAAATTTACTCTAAATGCGCTTGTTATTAATAATACGAAGAAATAAAATAAGATAAGAAAGAAAAAGGTAAAAACCTAACAAAAAAATGTTACGAAGCCCGCGTTTGTCTACCCGCTCTCTCATCTCTCACCATCAACACACCAACCAACCCTTCTGCCCCTTGAAGTGACAAACTTATGGATTCGTTTCGACCGGAATCGAAGTCGTAAAGGTTGGCGTCTCCAATTCCTCGTGCTTCTTCATCTTCAGCGCCTGCTGCAGCTTGTAGTGATTGATGATGTCCTGATCGGCAGGACAGCTCTGCGTGAAGGCGTCCAGCTGATACATGTGGAACATGTAACGCCACAACGCCCGGAACTCCTTCGGGATGTCGAAGTCGACGAAGTACTTGGCGGCGACGCGGATGTGCTGCAGGCGCGGCATCAGCTCGCAGTCGAAGCAGCACATGGTGTCGCCAGTGAGGAAACGTGTGCCACGTTTCGCTAAGTGGGTGTCGATGCGCTGCAAGTGCGATTTGAGCATGTTGCTCTTTATGTCGTCCTTCTTCACCAGCACCAGCTTCAACTTGCTGTACAAGTTCTCTATCAACGTCGCCACTTCTTTATCCTAAAATCATAACATGGTTAACATAACATCATTGTTAAAAGAATAAAATTTACCTGAATGAAGAGATTGTGTCCACCTGGCACGTTCTTCATGATGTAACGCTCGATTTTCTCGTTCTCTAATATGGCCATGCCGCCGTCGATGAGAATAGGTGGCGGAGTCGCTTCGAAGTTTGTGCGGAAGTCTGGCGGCGGCTTCTGCATGTCAACAGTGGTTACTTTGAGACTGATGGTTTTTAATTCAGCTAGTAAATACAGATCCATGAAGTACTCCTGGCAGAAGAGGCATGCTCCCTTGCGGCGGCCATCAATAGTCGATGCCTTGAAGAGATCAAACAAATTCAATCAGTAAAAACGCAATTTTAAATCCTTCAACAAAGTGCTACATCTGCTTTCAAAAGAAACAGATAAAAATACAATTTCGTGGCCGCAGATGTTAATGAGTTGAATTTGCGTCCAGATCTAAGTGAATTTGAGCGGTTTTCGGATGATGCATGCGTGGAATTCTGAGCGCTGCGAGTGAAAGCGTCTCATATTGCAATATTCCATAGTTATCGCATGAAATTTATGACTGGCGGCGTTTGAAATTTGCAAGAATAAATCGGAGCCTCTCGGCGGCGCATTGGACGTCCTGTCACGTCCTCCATTGTGTTCGCGGCAAAATCAAAGTTCGCGCATTGTTTTCGAATGCGGCGCGCGGCCCGCCGAACACGAAAGACGTTTTGAGGAGACGTCGAAAGATCGCGCAAAAGTAAGCTAAGAGAATAATGAAAGCATAATGCCCATATTTGTTCAGGTTGTTACAATCTAAATGTCACTCAATAAACAAACGCCGCTGAAAGGCGCGCGCGGAGCGTATATCGATAGGTGGCAATAAATCGGCAGCGGGATCTCGCATAATAGAGATACTTTTCTATGCTTGCGTTTAAGGTGATAAAATTCATGCCATTCCTGCGCTGACAGATTTATCTCCCATGTCAATATATAGGTATGTTAATCCGCGGATATGTGACGAAGGCTGCCATTACGCATTGTTCACGTTTGATTCACATCACGATAAGAAATCGTAATTGTTCTAGAAATTTATTAAAATCTTAGAAAAACATTGAAAAACAAGGATTTAAACAATTTAAAACCTAAAATACTGATTACTCATTGATATTATAAACAAATGAGTTTAAAAAACACTTAAAAATGTATAAAAACATTAAATATTTGCTAAGAAACCGCAGCGTTTCCTAAGTTTAAGGCCTTAGTCAAGTCGCAATCAATCAGAACTGAATCCGGTAATCGTTGACACATATCTGCGGTGCGTTGTGCATTCGCATTGCTCACATTCGGCGAAAGCAAGCATAGAAACATCTCGAATGTTCCATGTGCCGTCCACATCTTACAAACCGTAAGTTCTTACTTGCGCGCAGAATGAACACTCGCGCCCACATCCCGCGCGAGTTTTGAATTTCAAACGGCCCAGTAAGCCACACGACCACGCCAGCGCATTACGAAACGCATTGTGCATACCTACGCCTCGTTATTGCTGAAAATGAGAGCAAAGCAAGAACAACAACGGAAAAATCACAATGACTTTTCCGCGCAACGCTTAAAAATCGCTATAAATAGTGTGATTACGTACGAATTTTTGTTTTAATCACCTTTTCACGTTGTAGTTTTCTCATAATTACTTATCATTGTGTCAATATCGATAAGCAAGCACACAAAAAAACGTCGAGTGCATTAGATATGACATTCAAAGTTTACCCGACGAAATTAACAACTTTCCACAAACAAATTAAAATACGAAATGAGATGTACACGCATTTAAATTGTTTTTCCAATAATTTTTCATTGGATGAGCATAAATATCGCGTGTTCAAACCATTTGTTAAGCGTTTTAATACCGAATTGAACAAATACGTGTCATTCGCGATTAATGACGCGTTCGAAATTACACTGCACACACAAAAAAAATGCTAAAGATGCAAGATTATGAATATAGGCATGAAATGCGAGTAGTTTTTTCGCAATCACGATTCAGATTCTGCTCCGCATACTCAGCGCGGCGCACTGCAATTATGATCAAGAACAAGATCCAGTTAATTTCCGCTCCGATGTTAATTGACATCGATGCGAGAGGAGAGAATGTGCGCTCTGCGCCATTATGCAAATCGGGAAAGGCCGTATACTCCCGCGAAAAGTGACGCATTGCGCGACACTCAGTAGCGCGCTGTGGGATTACGGTTGTCCGGCCGCGACGCGATTCAAAACGCAAAACGGGGCATTTATACTTATTACAGTTTATCGAAAGAAACTTGACATTCAGGTCGGCCGGTTGCGCGTGTGGTACATGCTGATTTGTGTTCTGTACTCGTTTCGGTTTCTCACATTGCCGCAGGTTCGAATTTAGGTTGCACTCGCATTGTGCCCGGCTAATACTAAAGCATGCAATCATCATCGTCGCTGGTTTCCTGCTGATAGTGCATCGATCGATCGATGTGCATTGCGCACTTTTGTATTCGGCGATATTCGAATGCGCGCTTAGATTTCGACATTTTTCACTCACAGCGTCTTGACCTCCTTAGAAATCGCCAGCCAATAAAGTCTCAAACGCATGAAAGCATAACAAATCCGAGTGATGTGGTGACGTCGATCACATTGCGGCTTTCTTTCGAAGGTGTAACGAGATGTAATCGCGCCCGACTCAATGTTAGCTAATCACGGAACAATCTCGTTAGATAATCACGATTATCACGAAAACAATGTCATACCACATCGCGATGATATTGCTCTCGTTTGTGGAATTAAATCACTAGGTGCGCCGCCGTGTGTGTGTTAAACTTTCTTGCGTCCACATACGCCCGCGGCCCTAAAATCCAAGCATTCGCGTTGTAAATGAACGTCACTCGCGCCGGCGATGACTCAAGCGAACGAAAGTTCGTTGTCTCCTGTTGCTTACGCCGTCTGTAATCTATTAGCGCGCAACAATGGATCGATTCAAAGCCGAACTTCAATTAGGCGTAGCAGAAGGTGTGCGGAAACAATGCGTTAGCATTTCGCTGTTTGTTCCACCAACTCGACTCGCAGATTCAATTCGAATCTTCATCGCGCGTTGCGCCATCGAGATGTGCGCGAATTCCGCACACTTTTTTTTCCTATGCACGAGCCGTGTGTGTGTGGTATGTGTGTGCCGATCCTTTCCTTTCTCGCTGCTTGCGTAATCATCAATAATAGAAAGTATGACTTAACTTAAAACACGACACCACGACGACTGTGTGCTTCATGCTGTGCCTAAACTGGCGGTAAATAAACTTTTATCCGAAAAAGTTTCAAACGAAAAGAAAATCGCACAAATCGAACGAAAGTGTGTTTCCTTTGGCGTGCGCGCAATCGCAACTTTTCTTCAATTCAACACTTTTTTTTTTCATATTCGTCGTAATTTATGTCGGCGAGAGGAGAAAAAAAAGTAGGTAGGTTCGTGCGTTGCGCTCGGCTTCGCGTATTTTTTCGCGTCTCGCGCTGGAATGATTTTGATTCCACAATCATTCCTTCGATCAGCACCTTATAATTATACATATACGGCTTATGAACAGAAACCGTGACCGCACTTTTACTTCGGCGTGTGTTTAATCATTTTCTTTCAAGCATTTTAATAAATTAATAATTGTAACGCCACGCAGTCGCATACCATCCATAGTCGCGCAGGTTGAGTAGTTTACGCCGATGGCTCAATTTCGCACGCAGTTGTTAAAGATGCAGGCACATCATTGACGTAATTCGCGATTGACATGTTGGGGGATCATGTTCATGCAACAACCAGAAATGTGTTAATTCGCCGCGCAGGCTTCTGACATGGTCAGCGCGCGCGAAACGAAAGTGATTTTTAATTTTACGCGCACAAAAACAAACAAACAAACACACAGACTGCCACCGGGTTTTCGACTGCATGCATGCCATAAATATCAAGTGACACATGACTCTTATCAGAATTTGTTTACAATTCAATTCACTACACATGCATGACTCTGAAAACAATCAATTCAATCATGACGTTTGGAGATAATGTAGTCTCTCTGCAAAACAAGCAGGCATTAAAGAGAAGTTATCGCACGTGTTTGTCTTAACAAGAAACAAGTTTTTTATTAACAATTATTCTCGGAAAATCCGGTAAGTAGTGTTTTTTATGATGACCAACACACATAACTCTTGAAATTCATGTGATGCTTCATTAATTGATGACTATTAAACAACCTACGCGATATTTAAGCCCATGGCAAATAAACGTGTTAATTTATGATTGATAAATAATATCTCAAAAATTTTTATATCACACGTAGCTAATTAGGCTGTTCGATTAATCAACAATCACGATTAGACGAATTTTATTGATGATATTATCACGACATCAACGCAAGTTTGTAATTTTTGCATCAAAATCATCAAAAATTTTCCATTTTTTCGCATTTATTCCAAAACCTTGGGGAAAACAAACGTAAAACACGCATGAATGCTAACATATGATAGGATAACATGTCTCGAACGACTAGATTCTCGCGTTTTCAACGGGACTTTCAAGGTTTCGACATGGTGCGGCGGCCTCCTGCAGTGTATGCAGCCGGGACACACTCGTAACACAATAAACGAATCCCAATATAATTCACAATCGGAAATGCGACGCGATTTCCGCCTAAATCACGCGCAAGAAATTCTTATCTTATCATGTGTCGCCGTATGCGCAGGGTACATACGGGAATTAATCGAATTTTAAATAATACTGTGAGAAATGCACGGAGAATTGTGTTATAGCATACATAAGTATAATATCGCTAATATCAGTAATTTTCTAGTCTATTAAACGTTCATAAAAAACGCTCACGAACACGCCGGTCGTGGACGTGCCTCCTAAACACACCGTGTGTTAATGTCTAATTGTTACAGCGCCGACGTGTGTCGCATATTAGCATATCTCGGCCCGATATCGACAAATCTCAATGAACGAGAGTATTCACGTGTGTGTAGCACCGAATCGCGCGAGCAAATATGTGCTTGACGAATTGCCGATGAATGCCTAATTAAATATTTGCAATGGAACGTCAGCGCATGATGTAATAGGGAATATTCGAGAATAAGACGCGGGACTTTGGAGGATTCCTTACATCGTGAGTCATTCGTGTTGCTTTTTTTTTGTTTTTGGTTTGTTCAGAAACGGTTGCGAGGAGAGATTGCCGTCGTCTTGCAGTGATGACGACGTCCCGTGCACGGTTTCGCGTTTCGGTTCGATTTCGGTGCATGTAGCTGTAAATGCAACTAACTGCACAATATGCAAAACCGCGAGCGCGCGCGCACGCTGCACATGGCAGCAATTTATAAATAGTCGCGATAGCCGGCTAAGCATTGCCGGCGTCGTACCTGTTGGTCGACAGAAATTTCCGGCCGAAAATGGTGATAACGTGAATTCGTAGGCTCGTTTTTCACGTATGCATGTAAATTTCGTGCGGCGCGCAGAAAATAGACGCGCACGCAGTTAAAGCGTGTCCAAGGCCGGCGGCGCAGCCGGTGTTGTGGTGTGGTGTGTGTTTTTTCTCCATTTCGTGCGTTTGCCGCGGCGGCGCTCAACCGAATTAGCAAAAATTGGTAAATAAGCCAACGCGCCAATCGGCCAACGCCACCCACACACCTGTGGTGCACACACTGTATGCGCTTTAACGTACGCGATGCTTGCTTAGAAGACGTTGCCCGTATAAGGACTAAACGAAATTACGTAACGACGACGACGCTGCTCACATGTTTGTTATGCGTATGATAATTAGAAAGAAAGTTAGATACGAAATTCAAGCGGAGCGCAAGTGGGACCGACGTGAATCACACGTGAAAACACTGGGTGACTTCGTGTGACACCCGGTGCAAGTAAACATCATGCATCCGCGAGTGAAACAGTTCTCTGCGCCACTTTATTGTGTTATTAGACGTTTTTTGTGGAACACGCGGCTCCGTCGAAGCGACGGCCACCGACACGCCCCACGGTACGCGCGTTTCTTTTCGTTTTCGTTTGCGAGTTGAAAACTAACCAACGCCAACTGTGGGAGCCGCGCCGCGCCACATGTTCGCAACATGTTTTCCAAATTCTATCTGGTATTCGACTTACCTTGATGATCAGTTCGATCTCCGGCACGTCGCCTCCGCCGCCGCTGCCGCCGTCTCCGTCACCACCGCTGCTGCTGGCGCCGCCGTTGGCGCGCCCGTTGACGACTAGCTCGGGCTCGGCCGACATGATGTTGATAGTTGTGAAGGGCCGACTCGGTTCGATGCGGCTGCCGCTCGAACACTTGCTGTTTGATGTGGTTTGATGTGTAAATGTAGAAGGCACTGTCGGTGTGTGTGTGTGTGTGTGATCAACCGCCGTCGAACTCTCCTCGAAGACTGGAAGTTGAGTGCGGTTGCAGGCAGTAGGCTGGCGTAAGTTGGGTACCGGTGGGGGCGGGAGGCAACCACGGCAACCGGCGTTACAAACAATCGCGGCTGACGCGGTTATACTTCTATAAAAATCCGCTAGAGGTCGACACTTGTCCATATTGTGGACAGACTTTTGTTTAAACATGCATAGATGTCTCCCGCTCAATATTGTTCGCGCAACGTACAAATTCACAACTATCTAACCTTTTGAAAACGTCGAAGCAAAATTAAATTCTCGTAGAAATTAGATTCAGTGCAACGTGATAACAGGTAATTATATGCTCCTAGTATACTCCGTAGCATGATTTCCATATTCCATAACCTCCCGAATATTTCATCCACGTAGATTGTGCGCAATTCAAAATTCAAGGACCGACCGAACATTGCACCTTACCCAGCGCCTCTCAAATCAAAAGGTAAGCCAATTTCTATGATTAATATCAAGTGCATTTAGCGTTATCGCTTGCGAACACCGTTTGTATTTCTACTATGCATAGAATCAAATCATCGTACATGCATACAGGCGCAGTGCAAACGCGCTTCTAACCACGAAAATCCGGCTGATTTGAATAACAATGTGAATTGTTTATTAATTATTATCGTTTTTTTAGGCAGTTACTAGTCAACTGTGCTGACACGCGTTTGCCTGTCAGCACAAAGACAGACAATCAAATTTCGGTGATGCACAGCTAAAGCACTAGACACAATAATTTGAGACCAAAACCGAATTTGCTACAAAAATATAAAAATTAATCAAAATCTGCACCAAGATGATGCTTATGCAATTCAGTAAGCGTGTCTGCTACAACCATGGCGGAGTGATACGCCGCACACTGGTGGATTACTCCTCAGAGACACTTCTGAGCCCTGACAATCTCCTGCGAGCTGCTAGTAAGTTTGAAGCCCTTCCTCTGATCCGCATGCAGACCACGCCAACCCGACGAAAGGCAGCCGTACTGATTCCTCTGTGCGAAGTCTCGGACCGTGTGTCCCTGCTGTTCACGCTGCGCACTTCATCGTTGCGCTCGCACAAAGGTCAGGTGAGTTTCCCCGGTGGCATGCAGGATGTGATGGACAAAACACTGAAAGCCACCGCGTTGCGCGAAACGCGCGAGGAGCTTGGTGTCCTGCCATCACAGGTGAAGCTCTGGGGCCAAGGCCAGCCGATTGTCGCACGCGGCGAGACAAGCGTCGTGCCTGTCATCGGCACCATCGAGAAATCGGTGCCGTTGAATGAGTTGAATGTGAATGCGTCTGAGGTACAGATGGTGTTCACCGTACCTATTGAAGAGCTTGCCAGACCTGAGAAGGTGCGCTTCACGCAATTCCGAAGTGGTTTTACAACGCCGTGTTTCTTCGCTGGTGATATGCGAATATGGGGCCTGACGGGCATCATCACGCATGCTTTTCTCAGGTGTTTTATCCCCGGTAATGCGTACCAGCCGAGGATTCGTTTTGTGTCACCTGTACGCACGATTGCCAAAGGAGCATCAGAATGAAGAGCGCAAACATTTCTGGTCTCAAATTATCTCCTGTGAAGTTTTATTGAAAATATCAACATGTAATTACCTGTACAAAATTATCCTAGTTTTGTTATAAAATCAAACTCATTTTATTCCCTGACAATTTATTGCGCTGACATAAGATTCAATGTGTGTTTATAACTTGTTTGTACAATTTACACATAAACAGCGTTATCGTCTTGTTTCGGGCATTCGCCTTGACGGACTATCCTGGCGTCTGCGTGGCCGTGCTTCTGGTGGCAGTTGAAGACGCATTCGTTGGAGTAAGTCCTGCCTTCGTTCGAGCACACCGGGCGGTAGATCCTTGGGCACGGACAGGTGGGTTCCTCTTCGGAAGCCCTCACTTCAAATGCGGCCAGTGCCAAAATGGCGCACAAAAAAACCAGCGCGTATTTCATTCTGACGTGTTTTTATTAACTTGTGTGTTTATAATTTCACGATGTGGCGTCGATGAACAACATGCAACAAGTGACGACTCCACTCAATTAGCGTGAAGTACACATGAACTGCAATCACTCATCTGATACATATTCTAATTAGCATTTGGCAATAACGAAAATACCAAGGTGACACGATATGCGGCGTGAATAACAAGCCAATCTATCTGTGAAGCCCACGGGGCCCCCAGTGGATGGTGTCATTCGTTGTAATAGCTCATCACTCACTTGAGCCGCACTGATAAGATTACCTCATGAATCATTGCCCTAGAAATTAATCGTGTTCAGTATTATCGACAGGTTGTCACAAACAAACTAGCATGTTTCTAGAAACATGTATTCAAATACAACATGAACATTATGAAGGTGAACTGCAGGAAGAAGGAAAAAAAACAAAAAAAAACAAGATTGCTATCAACAATTGAATCGGTCAGTAGTAGAAGGATATCTCAATTGTTTATTTTTGTAATTTAGTGAAAGGGCACGGCGTCTAAAATGCGCATAATTAACTTTTTGCTTTCTGATTCAATATTTCAGTATTCACTCAACTTGCGACCCTATAGACACAAAAGAAGGTTGTTTCTTGGAGCGCCGCTTCGGCGTTTTTCCTTTATCATCAGAGTATTCATTCGGAATCGACTCGGCTAACGACGCAGCAAAGGACACTTTACTCGCGCCGTACGACTTCTTCGGTATGCGGATTGACGGCTGCTTTGTAAGCTTCACACTAGACCCACCTTCAGGCAGCAGCGAAACACTCCGCGAAATTCCCTTTAAAGCTTTCAAATCCATCGAGACATATTTCTTAATATCATAGGAACTCTCCATTACATTCGAACCGGTCTGACTTGCACGCAAATGTGAGGAGTCTTTTGGTGAGACCACTGGCTGGATCCTCTCGTAGATATATCTACTACAATTGCTGATCCAGAATGGTGTTTCCTCATTACCATCCTCGCCGGAAACGCTTGGCGTGAAAGCTACTTGCGACGGTTCGGATACCACAGTCGAATCTACATTGTTAAGCGGAAAATGACTGCAATAGTCATCGAAATACGCGTATCTAAGACTGCGGTAGTTTTCTTGTAGTAAAACAGAAGGTGCGTCTCGAACGTCAACGACATCCGCACTGGCAGTCGCACCACGATCCTCGATGTATTTCTGGATCCTTGGGAGGTGTTTCGCCATGGCGGTGTCTTCCATATTAAACTCCCCGCAGTTTATAATGCGGATTATATCCGAGGGATAGTCGTATGTGGTGGGTAAGTTCTCCAAGTGGCGTAGGACGTACTCACCCTGCATCACCTGACCAAGGGCGACATATCTATAGTCCATCCAGGGGGTAGAATCCAGTGTGATAAAGAATTGTGTCTTATTTGCCACATGCGGTCGGTTACTGCACATTGAAAGCACACCACGACGATTGTGGGGTACAACGTAATTTTCATTAGCCATTGAATCAATCGGGAGCAGAAAGTCTGCGAATTGTATCCATCCCCTGTTCATGATACGATGTACTCTGGTTCCACAGTATCCACATGATCGGCTTTGGCATCTTTTCAAAAACATTTTGCAGGTTTCCGGGAGTATATCATGGTACAACTGAAAATACAACCAAAATTAGATATTATGCATTAATAGTAATTTTAATTAAGAAATACCATGATGATTAGACTCCCGACGTATTTTCCGTTGACAGCAAGAGAAAAGAAGACAAATTTCCTCTAAAAACTCAAAAAATCAGTAAAAATATTAACAAATAAGATGATTTACAGGTACCCCTAGCTCCTGGTACTTCTCATACATCTCCGCGACACCATGCAGCGCCAAACACTCGAAGTCCTTGTCCATTTTGACAACAAACCACTGCGAGATGTACTCCTGCAGCTCGGCAGCCGATGCAATCTGAGTTTGATTTGCGAACATGATGAAGGGATTGTCGGTGGTCCATAGTTTCTCGCCGTACATGCGCTGCGCCTTGGTAATGTATTCTGCCCAATCAAATTCTAGCATGGGTCGGATAAACGGGGCTCGGAAGCGATGTGGTAGCCTTTTGTGTAGGTATTCGATGATGGCAAGGCATAGCTGAAACTCGGTAGAGCCCACGAGTCCTATGAGCGTGAAATGGATTTCGTGGGGCTCCGAAGTACCATCTAAACAAGCAATTGCGCCGGCCATAATTTTCCTTGCACCGCGATCACCAAAATTTTTACTTTGACATTTAAATTTGAAATTTATTTGTTTCAATTGTTATAGGTATGTACAGTCAAATATAAAATCAATCAATATAATAATAGAATTTGCGGTTGCCTTGTGACAGTTGAATGCGGGTCCAAAACGCACAGGCAACTCGGACTTAAACTTAGAGAAATATAAATAAACGCGATAAAGTTTTATTCAATAATAAAAACAGGGGTTGTGATGATGAATCGTGAAACGTAATACTAAACGAAATCGAAAAAGTCTCTCTGTGTGTGTGAACCAGGTTCTACATTAGTAGGGTCTCCAAACCGCCGAGGGGTCCGCAATCTGTCGCTGATCATCCTCGACGACTTGTTGCGTTTGCTGCTCGGCGGGCGGCTGCTGTGAGTGTGAGTGCGCGTCGGCGGTGGCATTCGCCGCCGCTTCCGACGACCGCGCCGGCATCAACGCCAGCCCATCATGCACGCTGAAGTTGTCGAAGATCTTATCCGTGGCTGGACCATGCAGGTGCACGTGGATCTGGTTCTGGTTGACCGTTGGGTAAATGTGTGGGTAGAGGACCATGTGCGGTGCATTGCCATACTGCTGGTTATTATTGGGCGCGTTGTAATAACTGGGGTAGTTGGCATAGTTGGTGTTGTGCGGTGTCCAGTTATTGGGGTAATAACCAGAGGACTCGTTGTACCGCGGGCTTGCACCAACCATGGGATCCAGATCCGCCTTGACGCTGTTGAACATCGGCGTCGTGGGTGAAGTCAGCGAGGTGTTGATGTACTCCGTCTGGCTGACTTCAGGCAGGACTGCGGAAAAGCAACACTCAATCAGTATCAGAGGAAAAAATAACAAACGCAACGACGAATTCATTAAATCATTAATGCCGGTTGTTGGTCGGATGGAGTGATAGATGAGAAGGAGGGAACCGTCGCGCGGCTAAACATTGAAAATGTTTAATTGCATTATTGACAGGCGTTGGTCGAGCGGCTGCAACCGCAATTTTTTAATTTTTGTTGCGTTCCGGCGTTTTTTCATTGCGGCACCAAATTGCTTTTTACTTGCAACGCAAGTTGGAATAACGAATACATTGGATCATTGCGGTTTGGCGCGTGGAGAGTTCCTGCATGGTATTAAATTCGTCAAAGGAGTGCTAGTGCCGTATGGGTATCACTCATTCACGCGCGTGCGATTTTTCGGCCTTTCTGTGGTCGGGGTGTCGTAACTCGGTTGGGCTCATACCTGCGGGTAAGTGAAGCGTCTGCGAGCCGGCGTCTTGGTGTGGGTCGTAGTATCCCGGCGGCTGTGGAGGGCTGTACGCACTGTACGCCGATGAGTATTCCGCCCAGTTCGATTGGCACTGCTGCTGCCCGCCACTCAACGGATTCGCCCCGCTCGTCGTCACATCTGCAAAGCAAGAGCAATCACAAAGTTAATCGACCCGACAAACCGGGAGATCGCAGTCATCCGCAGGACCCGCGTCCGAAAATTCATTTCTTTCCGCGGCGAGTAAGAAACACAACCACCCTGACGTGTATAATTTTCACTTTTCATTTCCTTCAATCGCCGGCTGATTTCGGCGTTGGCGAAGGTTACGCTTTCATTTAATTAATCTCGCGTCAAACGTTCGGGATGCAGGCGGGAGGGCGCGCGTCGACGGGGGCTGTGGAGCCGTTCGTGATAATGCGCTAATAAGGTGTCATTTACAGCGTGTACTCAAACTGCGGTCTTTACAAAACAACGAGCGCCGGCGCTGTCGTCTTGGGAAAACAAACTTTCCTCACACGCGGCGAGGCTTCACGCCGCCGGCCGAAAGTTCGCCTAATTTATAGTTATTAATTTAAGTTTACTAATAATGTATCCACGGGCGTCACAAGTCGCGCGCGCACCAAAGACAAAAAATCGCTGCCGGAACTTTTGATTCCAGTCTCTACGTAATTAACGAATTTCGTAACATATGGCGTTGGAATTAGTCACGCCGAATGCGGGAATTCGGAGCCCTCCAAAGACGTCAAACCAAACAACAACAAATTTGAAAGTTACGCATTGATATATCTTCATAAGCAGCAGGTAATCATTAATAGGCACCACCTAAGAGATAATCGTATGCGTACCGGTAGGTACGCACGCCTTAAAAGACGCGACAACGCGACAACAAAGATATTAAAACGAAATGTGAATATCTGATGCGTTCTGATTGCCGCGCTTTGTTTTGAGCTATCACCAGCGCGAATTGGATGAGTCAGACGCAAGCCGGAGCGCGCGTTGTTATTATTTAATTTGTGCGCGCCAGCTTATGAGCATATATTAATACGCCCGCACGCTGCTAACAATTAAAAAATGTAAGACGCGACTGCAACAACTGCAAGTGTCGCCGGATGAGAAGCTACCTAGATCCCCATCGGCCTTATCGCCACACTCGGTTTAATAAATCCAACCAAATATCCAAACATTGAGATTAAGTTCCACACATGTGCTGGGGGCCTCGCAGCGCATGTGTGCAGATGCAGATATTCCAGTTAAAAATTATTACTCACTCGCGACGGCGTTGCGTAGATGAACTGCGATGACAGTTTTTATTAACGTAATCATGTCAGTAGTTCAGCGAAACAAAAAACCGAGCGTCGACATTCGATCTATCGCATGATAACTCGACTTGCGACTTCTGCGCAAAAATAAATTAAAAATCGTAAATTGATTCGAATGTTTTCCAGCGTTTGTCGAAAGGAGCAAGAAGCGCAATTCGTTTTGTGCAGCAATGAGATTTGTTCCAGAAGCAGCGTGCGGGTTTCAATTAACTATAATAAACTAATTTGGCGTAATTACCGAAATAACACGTTACGTTCGATTCGATTTCGATTCGGTAGCCGAATTGTACTTATCGACGCTCTCAACGCGTTTTTTCTTCTTCGCTTTTTCATCTCGGTTTTTATTACCATTTCGAATTACCTACATCAATTTCACAATTATTATGCTGTTCAATTTCAGTGAGTACAATTTCAATTGGAATTAGGTGAAGACAATCATGGGAATTTTCATTCGGAAAAAAATTATATGAAGATTCGTATGTTCGGGACTTGTACGGCAACTCCAACATTGGCCATAATTTTAGGTTAAACGTGTCCAACCTGAATACAAATTTTTAAAGATAGAAATATTTTTCTCATTGAAGTGAATATTCGGTAGCTGGTTGGGTGCACTCGTCGGCTTAGCACATTACCATGTAATTGCAGGTCTTGTGCGTGCACGGCCGAGGACATGAAATTCAATCTCGCCCTATCAAACACAAACCAAAACGTAAACATAAACATCCTGACGACCGTCGATATCAATCGAACGCAGCGGAAAGAAACGGCCGAAGCGTCCCGGCTACCGAGCAGCGAATTACGTGCGCCGATGAGAAACGCGCCTTCTTCTTCGTCGACTTCTTCGACTTGATCGCGCGCTCTCGTGCTCCGGTGCGCGCAGCCGGGGCCGTTAATGCGGATGATTGTCTCGCTATACGTAGTCATTGACATAATCGGACGTAAATTGAAATCAAACCTGTTGAATCTCTCCCATCCATTATCATTACGCCTCAAACGAGCGCGCTTCTTGTTTTGACTAGCTGCCGAACACACACACACACACACAAACAGGAAGGGGGAAAAAAATCCACGGCGTAATCATCATCTCGCAAGAATCACATTACAAAATAACGCAGAAAATATTCTAATCAGCTGAGTCGTCGGAGGCTCGAGGAATAGTTGTGAATAATTGCGTACTTTCCATGGGAGTCATTTATGCATAAAAAATTTATCGCGCAGTAATCGTACGGAATATTAAGCGAGTGACGTTGTCATTAGACGCGTTCGCATTGTCTTGAGCAGCAGCGCACTTGACTCGCGGCACGTCATCACACGATTTCCATTCGAGATTACATTTGTTTTATATTCATAATATAAGTCGAAAAATCGAGTAGGAATACGCTTCGTAGAAGTCACAGTGACACACTTTATCAACGAATTTTGTAAGATTTGGCAAGTTTTCTGCATGAAATCAGGTAAAATCTTACATCTACGAGTAGTATAGGTATGTGAGCGTCGAAATTCGATCTCGCATCGCGGGCCCCGTGTAATGTAAGAGATATATTTGCCGCTTCGATGCGTCGCAATCAGTTTTACTAGCGCCGACCGCAATTTTTACCTGACGATCTGATTACATCCATAACGTCTCACGTCGCTCGCATCGCTCCTCACATCTTTGCGACGGCGGCGCGCAGGAATCTGAATCGCGGCGCGCTGGATGTGTAACAGTGTAACACGTACTATTCTTTTAGTGCTTCGTATTCTTGAATGAGAAAGCAACGCCCGGAGTCAGCAAATTACCGGCTACTACGATTGACTACGCGTCGACTACGCGAGGAAATCGAAATATTCAATGTTCAATATTTGCTCAAACAGTAGCTGTAATACGGAAACGAAATTTTTCATTTTAAAAGTTTGTGTGGTCCACCAGATGTCTAATAGGTGCAAATTTGATAATTGTTTGGTTCAGGCCACCACCCAAGTCGCTTTCTTCTCGGCGTCTAATCTTCTCCGGTTGAAAATTATACCTATGGGTGATTAGGCGCCGTGTTCAAGTATATTTCAACTTAGAAAAATATCAATTACTTCATATTCATGTGCATGCATTATTAGTTAAAACTGACTGATTTGTCCATTCATTCATGCATTAGACTAGACAAGACTGGGATCAAACGTGGTCGTGATCCAGATCGTGACGTGCGGCGCTCGCACCTCTCGCAATTTGACGGTGTGCTGGCGTGAATCATGAATGGACCTAAAAAAGAGCAAGCTGGAGCGAGTTGGAAACACTTGAACACAGGCTTGACGAAATAACTAGGTATATCATTCGATGGATCCGATCGATTACGTGCGGACGGCCGGAGCTTCCCACCGAAAAACGACTTCCGGCGGTCAAGACTCTTCGAAGCCGTCTGTCTTGCGCGGTTCTGATTAACGAAAAATCATGCCGTACATCGTGCGCAGGGCATTATGGACAAGTTTATTACGCTGGATGCGATGCTTTTGAATTACATATAGGAGGAGCAAACATCGACGGATCCGACGTTACGCTTCGACGCGTCAAATCTTCACGATACGGGTAAAAAGGTAAAAATTCAATTATTACACGCGGCCTGAAGTGAACATGAACTGTACACGAGGTACTGTATTTCATCGACGTGCTTCATTCACCTGCTTCGGCCCATTCAGTCAGTTAGATGACTTGTAGAACAGAAAACAATACTCGTCGACTATCTATACACTGCAAGATTGTTTTAGTTAAAATTGACAATTTTGTGATTTATGCGTTTTAAGCGATTTTCACTTCTCGATAAAATAAAATAAAATCTCAAGTATTTTTTGTCGTTGCTCTCGGATGCAGCTCGGAGTTTCGTTACGGGTGGCGTTTTCGATCGGTCACAATTGATCGCACACTTTTCATCGTTAACAAGCATCGAACGCTGCATAGATCCAAAGTTTAAATCGAGAGAAAATTCGCAATTTGTCTTCATCTCTTCGGTCTTCGCCAGCGCAGCGACAAAGCGTACAAAACGATAAAGAAATCGTAAAATAAAAAAAAAATCCGCGTTTTGTGCAACTTTCAATTGATACGCTTCATTCGCGTTTGTTCTCGATGGCTGCACCGCGCTCCGCTTCTTTCTACACTCATTTTCTTTCGCGCTGCGCGCAAGAAATGCTGCTGTAGATAGAGTAGGTATACATAGTTACAGCGCGTATAAAATTGCAAAATTATATAGGCGTTGGAAAGTATTGTGTTTGGCTGGTTTATAAATAGAACGGAATTGTCCGGTGAATCCCTATTTTCCGTCAAATTAGCATCGAGAACTGGATTTTGCCGAACGCTTGAAGGTTAATCATGCAAATCACTCGCGATCGCATGCCGCTAATGTAATTATCACGAATCTCGAACTTCTGCGTTTGCAAAAAGTACATTTCCCATTTACGCAAGCGCCAGCACGCCCACCCGACGGAGGATAATGTCAAAAGCGATGATTAATATTGTTAATTAATACCTGTCCTCGGCTAGAAAACTTCCCAATTTGTAATTGGTAAGTAAGTAAATGATTTGTTGATTGTTTGTTCGGAGAACACACAGGTATGAATAATGTTTGCAGAAAAAGTGTTTTTGAGATGTGTTTGTCGAACCGGAAATGCCGTTCTCTCCAGAAATCGTCAAAAAATCATTATGTCTTAATTTCGCATGTGTGCATCAAGGTCGTTTTTTGCCGTTGAAAGAAGCTTCGAGTTTCACGTCGAACCCTTCTTTGCCCAAGGCGCGTGTAAAAAAGATTTACTTATATTGTTTCTTTCGCGTCGCCACGTGTAAATTGACACCAGCCGTCATTTTCCGCCGCGCGTAGCCCTATCTGTCTTCAGGACGCGCGGAAACCTTAAAACGCCTCCTTTGGCTCAGTTTAAACTTCGGAGCGTTTTAATCTCTGCACTGAAAAACGGCGTACCTTGCGGGTCCGGCTTATAATCTTGTTTGTACGCTTGCGGCGCGGCCTGCTGCGCGGGTCCTTTCCGCCGATACTCCTGCTGCAGGTAGCGCAAATGCGACGAGAACGTCGTGTCGATGAAGGGTCTTTGCGCCTGCGGCCCATCTGCAACACCAGGATTTCGATCATCAGATTGGTTTGGTAATGTGTTGGTGGTTGTGTGGAGGGAAAAAAGTCAAACGAGCAAAAAATTTATAACGATAGCGTGGAAATGATGATGTCCTGCCGGACTGGCTGTAAATTTTTGCGCCGCTGCGGCGGTGGCGGCGGCGGCGGCATTATGTGTGCGCCCGGATAAAATTCATAATGGGCCACTAGTGCAGCGCGCCGAACTACCGGAAGCCATCAGACCCCGGACCGATGCAATCACTTCCGCCCATGGTCATTTCCGTCTCTGCATGTCTGTATAATGCGCTAAACAATCCCCTCGTCACTGCGCCGGGGCCGCATCGAGTTTTCACACGCGTTTTCAAAACCCGAAAAATTAAAACGTGAAAAGTCGGCGCAGCATTCAAATCGAGAATTTTGCGGAATTTAATTGTGCATCGCATAAAGTAACACACAGATCGATTGATTGATTGAATGGCTTAGCGCGAGTGCGAGATAAGCGGACAATTAGCACCTAATCAATTGTTTATAAATAAATGAATGAGCATTTACACACACGTATGTAATGCTCGCGCTGCTCGCAATTCGTCCTGCCAGGCAAGGCTGAAAAGAAGTTAAAGCGAGCATGCGAATGCGAAATGTGCGTTTTAGGATTCGCATGCAGCAGCGAACGCACGAAGATATAGCCGCCACCCCCCACATCACCGTGCGCTCGCTGCTGCTGGCTAAATAGAGTAATTACTTACAATATAATGAGGACGTAATTGCAGCAATAGCAGATTTGTAAATTGCTAATCTGACGCATTTGTCAATGATTGGAGTTGGATTTGTGTGCGCTCGCACACACGGACGTGCGGCGGACGACGGCGGCGGGCCGACAGGATACGCACGGACTCGGCCGCGCTAAGTCACCCGCCGCCACCGCCGCCGCTACCCCGCCGGTGCGCCCGGCGAAAATCCGCACACAGCGCCGCGTTCTGTTCTAGCAATTACACGTGTTACGTGTGCTGCCGAACATTTGTAAATGTGTCCGCCACGCCAGGACCTAACTTGTCCTTAAGTCAAACAACAAACCAACTTGCAACTTCTTAGAAAACTTTTAAAAACCTTCAAAACTCAACAAAACCACTTATAAAACCTCAAAATTTTCACTTTATTAGATGTTAAATTTTATAGGTTATGATATTTTAGGTTATGTATGCTTTTAAGTAGCTGATTGAGAAGATATGGCGGATTTTTCTGCGTTGGAGTCGTGATCAATCAACAAGTTAAATACGGTCCTCGATTCGTGCGAATTTCGAACGTATTTGTGAACGATTATCGATGTGTTGGACGTGTTTGGCCAGCGCTACCGACGCCGAAGCTATTTGTATCTGCGTGCGGACGCGCGCCACCCCCCGGCCGCCCCCCGCGCGTGTGCCGAAACAGAACGCGCGAACGCGCGCTCGGAATTGCCGTATGATTTGTGCGCCGAATGAAACTATTGATGATAGTTGCGAGTCATAAATAATATATAAATCGATTTAATTGAACCTATTTATATTTTATGGCGAGAGATTTTCCGGACGGCGCGCGATTGAATTATTTAATCGAAATTTATAACGGCGCGCGCCGCGTGTCGATAGCATCGAAAACATTTGTAGCAATTACGCGGACCGCGAATGATGAAGACCGAAATTGGGCGCGGAAAAAATTTCGAGCGGATTTAATGAAAGAATGCGATCGTAAGTGGTCGGATAATGTCTTACTCGATGCGCGCAAAACATCCGAAAGATGACCGCGTTATAGCATTCCGAATTGTTTTATAATTTAAAGCAGAAAACACATTTCGGTTGCGCAACGCGGGTGAAAAACGATCGAAATTGTGATCATTTTCAATTTATCGATACGTTTTATTTATTTGTGGATTTCTTGTCTTCCAGTTTTCTTCCTCGGCGCTGCGCGCCGAACTTTTTCAACTCTCGCGCAGCAGCAAATGAATGAGAAACCATTGGAGCGAGAAATAATTTCGAAACTAATTTTATACTCTGAATATTTTTCATCCGACGAAATCGCCGAGTATCTTGATTTGAATTTCAGCCGCCGAAGTTCGAATTTCACCGCTCGCGCGCGCGCGCCCGCGTCTGTCAACGTTTTTTGTCATCCGCGCTGACGGTGATTAATATAATACCACCGGTAGTCGTGTGAGATACGCCGATATCGATATGCCGCCGACATCATGAACATGAATTAATAGAATATAGAGAAATATTTTGAGGGCGCGCGCGGAAAACGGATAAATATTGAATTGAAATGCAGCGCTCAAACCGCGTCGCGCGCGAATGGGATGTTATCACAACAAATACCGTCGCATTCGTATAATTGCAATTTGCGGTCGGGAGGACACATTTGCATATACGCGTCCTGGGAGCATCTGCGCGCGGCCGGGCTGCGCGGCGGGCGGCGGCAAGTTTTATCCACCGCCGCCGTCCACGCAGCGCACGGTGACGACGGCAAAATGCGACCGGGTTTTTCAAAAATCGTCGCCGGCCCCCCGGCCCGCCGATGTGTGGCAGGCATTCCGCGCCCCGCGTCGCGCAAACAATAATGATGACATTGTTTCGGTTAATAATGTTTGCAAATTTGCGCACCGCACGATTTATTTTTCGAGCGCGCGCGAGCGTTTATTTTATATTTCGATTTATTTAATTAAAGCGAAACCGAAATTTATGCGCTCTGCGGCTAATAATCGAATCGGGATTTTATTAAACGCAAAATTTGATTAGCGTTCGAAGAAATTCGCCGCGCGTCAAAAACCCGCATGTATCACTTTAATGATGTATCGAATTAGCGAATGCAAATCACTCCCTACAATATCATAGATTTATTTCTTTTCTATGCAACTTTGTAATTTGAGACGTGCGTGCCATTCCGATAACGGCAAGTTGTGTTGTTTGGCAATTAGACAATTTCGAACGTATTTTTTTCCTACAAGAAGTTGTGGGAAACTTGGTGCACGTTGACGATAAGAAAATTCACTTCCTGTGCCAGTTGATAACAGCCGCACACACACCAGCAGAGAATAAAAAATCGAGTATGATTTCAGCTAGAATAACATGATTCGGACGGCGGAAAAAAAGAACGCGAACACAACGCGTACACAACGCGTGAATCAGTCACTTTCTGCACAATCGCAATCGCGTCAATATCACGCGATTTACCCAAAAAAAAACGCCGAAAAAAAAAACGTTCGTCAACTACGAAGAAAAATCGCAAACATTTGTCGATGCTTGCGTGGCGATCGCCGCCCTGGGCACACATGTCAATATATTATGAAGCGTGCGGGGCGGAGGTAACACAATTAGACATATGTTGATTGTCGGGTAGTAATTGCGCTCGTACGTACACAGTCCGCACGTAATTTTTTTTTTTTGACGAATTCGTGATCGCGCGCCCGACGGAGCGCGCCGCACAGCGCACAATACAATTTTTCCAAACTCTTCTGTTCGATTCCTTCCTTCGGCCGTACCGGGGGATAAGTTACTTAAAATAAGTTAATACGCACGAGGTAGGCGAGTGCCATGCATTTTTTACGGTTATTACCGACATTTCGAATGTGAAAACACCCTCGAGTGAAACGCGCCGCCACTATTTTTACCTTTTATGTCTTTTTCCATTCTTCTCCTCCCGGTTGGCTTTTTTTTTTCATACAAACATTATTTTTTCAATTATATTTTGAGCAAATTAAGTGTAATTTACAGCACGCAAACGCGCCTCATACAGCATGTTTGAAAACCCTAACAAGTCAAAGCGAAATTGACTACTGTATTCTTCTTGCTGCCATACATCGAGAATGCGAAATATTTACGTGGATCTTATTTCCCAGAAGCAAATGTGACGAATTTGACAACCCTATCAGTGAGCAATAACTCCTCTTAGGCTTCGGATATGTATGCTTTGTTCAATTAGCCGAGAATTTGTTTGCACGCGCCTCTCGCAACCGCCGCATTAAATTCCAATTAATACGACGTGTGCGTTGTAATCTCAAGAATATTTCTCTAATTTATGTAAGTATTTTGCGTCTTTAGAAGGTGGAGGCGATGAAAAAAAGAGTTGTATACTTACTAGTTTTGGAGCGTGGCTCGCGTGGCCCATCGACGGTGACCTTAATTGCTTTATTGTAAGTGGTGACTTGCGGCGGCGTCGTGGACACCGTGATGGTGATCGTGAACGATTTTCCTGAAAAGTGATGCGAATATTAGCCCAGCAGAAAAACCGCAGCCGCGTGGAAAAATGCGCCGAAATTCACGATGACCAACCGCTAGAAAATCGACCAGCGATTCAATTTTGGTTAATTATTCAACCGAAAGCAGCAGCGAAGATAAATAACTTCTGGTGCGCGATGGAAATGATGTTAAATTGATCGGAACTAGAAATCAATCAGAGCATAATTCACGTGCGAGTACGCGATGCAATCAGCTTCTAGCTTTTTTTGGTTTTCTTCAATTTCTGATCGAGTTTTTTTTCGTCGTTAATATTATGTTAATATTGTTTCGGTTTTTGTGTGCGACGCGGACGTGCGTGCGCTATGCGCCTGCTCCCTGGTATGTCGCCGCTTATTATTCATTCAATTCCGTTTTGATAATGAAGTTCGTGTAAATATTTACACGAAAATTACACGAAATACACCAGAGAGAGGGAGAAAAAAACGCCTAAGTATATCAATTGTGTGTACGGAATCTTGGTGTCCGCGTATACATGCACACGAACGTGGCACGCCGTGTTCTTTTCTATTATTACTAAAAATGTTCGAAACCACATCCACGGTATTTACATAAAAACATGAAAGTTTAACCGCAACAACCGTCCCCTAAGCCTAATCGTAAGCGCAAAATGCAACACGGAACGAAAACGACGACGACGACGGCGATAAAATCTCGACGCTTGTTTGATGAGGACCCAAATGTCTTCACCGACTTCTTAAACTCCCAGCCAAACGCAATAGAAATTAATTCCATGACGCCGGCCGGACAATCTTCATAAATTTAAATCAGTTTTCAATAAGTCACGCCGCGACGCTGTAAAATCGCGCACAGAGTTTCGTAAATCATTTCAACGTTCAGTTAATGTCGGCGTTTAATGGGTATGTGACACCGCAAAAGCGCTGAATTTTTGCCCTGGATTGCGAAATTGTCGTACAACTGCAACGTTGTCATGTCATACATTTGTACTCACTTGTAGCATCGACACTTTGAGACATATTATAATTTATTGTTTATACTTTCGCGCATTAACATTTATTGTCTCGCGTCTCGGGTCTCACGTCGGCGCGCTGTCAATGCGGTTTACGTTTACGACTCGTAAAATCGCCGAGACTGTTGTGCAGCGCAGCCTGCATGGTCTACATCTTTCATCCGTGCGAGTGTCAATTCTTTTCGGTTATTAAATCACGCAAATCCACTTTTAAACATTTACAATGTGGCATCGATGCGGATGGAGTCGCGCCGCATTTCAGATTCCCAGCGATTAGGGATAATAATATTATGATGTGTTTGGTCTAGGTGGGCTTTTGTTCGGGGTGGAAATAGATTCGCGAGCGGGGCGAGAAGTGAATATGTGCGGTAAACGCGCCGAAACGAATGCCGCCTTTTGTCGGCGCTATTTACGGCGATCGGCGCTAATTGTTGCGGCAGGTAAAACACCAAATAACAGGCCTCAACGAGCCACCCAACCACACGCTCGCACGCAGACCGAGAGCGGCACAGCGCCGACCACCGAAACACCTCAAACGCGCCCGACAAAACAAGAAGCCACCTAATCATCCCAGCCCGTCCCGGAGAGCTGCTTTTATTGTGTATTTTTTGATCCACCGGTGCGGCAATTCCAGCGCATCTAGTTGGAGGTCTTGTTAGAACACAACTACCTGCCGCAATTTTCTGTCTAATTCTACTCATTTATTACCAGGTTAACGAGACAAATTGCTCCAGTTTGCAACTGCAGCTGACAGTCATGCAAAATATTATGTGTTTATAATTAAGTATTACAAGCATGACGATTTCGATTGCAATTTGATTTTTTTTTTTTTCAATTGGGCCGTGTGGGTGCTTTGTGTGGTGATCATGCGGATTATTAGATATGTTGAGTTGATTTACGCAACAATTCCGTGCAACAAGCGTGAACTGGGGGCGGCGGATTTCAATAGAGGCACGTCGGTGTGACACGCCGACGTGTCCACGGCACGCTCGACGGGCATCCTCGGGTGCAGCAGAGCGGCGTGATTGTGGATGAATGCGGGCGCTCCGTTGGGTGGTCCGCCGCCGCCGCCGCCGCCCGATATCACACCGCGTGCATGCATGTAACGCGCTAACGACAACATGATTATGACCGCCGGATCAGCCCGCCGGCGATATTGACACAATGGTCACAACAAATTGACGCGGATTAATATTTACCTCGTCCGCTGCGGCCCACGAAGCGTAGATCGTTGAATTTGGCGATCTGGTTCTTCATCACGGCGGTGCAGTTCCTCAACTCAGCGCAGCAATTCTCATCGTTGCCGGCGCGGACGGTCACCACCGTGCCGTCCCCGATGTCACCAAGTGCGATCACCTTGAATGCGACGGGTAGAGTCTTGTTGGAGCGCCAGTGGGACGGCAGGGCTGAGCAGAGGAAGTACGGGCTGCCGGTGCGCACCAGCTCGTTGGGATGCTCCGCTTGCAGCTCGAGGACATGCTGCTCAACCCACCAGACGTCCTGGTTCGGATTGTTGTTGTTGTTGTTGTTATTGTTGTTACCGCCGGCGGCGGAATTGTAGCCGCCCGTGGTCGACTCGCACATTCTGTTGGCGCCCTTCGGCCAGTCTTCGGTTTGCGCAAGCGGCACTGGTAAATGCATTCGGGGTTCGGAGCTGCGTCGCTCGTTCAAGTTTCCAGACGAACAGAAAAAACGCGCGCCGAAAAGGACGAGCGACTTTCAAGGGTCCTGCGCGCACAAATCCGCGTTGATCCGTCGCACGAGTAACTTTCTGTGGGGCGGACGAAAGAATTCGGCGCGCTTCCGATTAGTGTCTGCTGGTCTGTTTCGGTGAAGTCCTCGACGTTTCGCTGGAGGAGAACCCGCTGTGTTTGCGCGCAAACATTTAGCGCGGACTTGACGCAACGAACACGCTGCTGCTGATCGCCGAACGACTTTCCATTGATGATTCACGTGCCGCGGTTCGTAGAGTTCGCAGTTTATACAGACAGTTTTATTGTCGGAATAATCATTAAGTCATTCAGGTTTTTACGTCACGCGTTCGCGCTGGACGCGAGAGCTCGCGCGAGCTCCGCGACGGTCCTCGCGCGCGCGAAACTTCCAAACTTTTCGCGGAAAATTCGGCCGGCGACGCCACAGGTGTCCGAGCGCGGTTCGTCGCGGCCGCGGTGCCTTCTTCGCGACGACGATCCGCGACAAGTGCGCGGCGAGCACACCGACTGACACTCGTGAGTGAGCGTGAGAGGCGCGGACAGCAGCGGCGGCGGTGTGTGCGGCGCTCAGCGTGCTCGCGGGACCTTTACTCTTCGCGAGTTCGTACGTAACTAGCTCCGAATTGTGTTGTTGGTGTGTGTAGTCATTGAATGCATTTGCGGTTAGCCTTCCCAATAGAGAAGGCGCGCTTCCGGGCGGCCTGCCGCCGAGTGAGACGACGACAGCGAGACGCAGGCGCGACTCCGTAGGCCGGTTCCTCCCGCACCGAAGCGGCGGAACGCGCGCCGACGAGCCAGCCAGCGCAGCGCCGGCCGTCCGTGAGCGCTTTTCGCTGCCGACCATCCGCCGCTTCGCGCACGCCACCGATCGCGGAAAAGTTTTTCTTGCGCGGTGCGGCGGCGGGCGAGCAGGCGGCGGTGGGAAAACCTTCTTATTGCCCTCCTTCCCAGCAGCGTGTGCACGCGACGCGAGTGCCAGCCCCGGAAAAAGGCGTTCGCTAAAGGCGGGTTAATCGGTTTCTTATCGTTATCGACGCGCTGGAATTCAAGCCATGTTTTTGTTAGCAACTTCATCTGCATGCGTGTGCGCTAATTAAAATTATCAATTCCACAACATTCGCGCATATTCACACATTTATTTTATTTTATTGAACATCGCGAACATGCTTATCAGTGAATCAGTGTTTGTTGCCTTGCGCTTTCACTTTTCTCGGCCATGTTAAGCCATTTAAAAGTTTTAAATGCGATCAGACGCTGTCAAAGGACCGCCAGACAAGGATATTATTATATTATTCGGACGCGTCTTCGCTGCGCCCGAAACTTTCGATTTAATCACCCTCAACATCAAGCTGCTTTGTATTTCGAGGTTTTGTCTACCAAAACCCACCCCAAGTTATGACAATGTACTCTGGAACAAACAGAAACTTCATTTTTCGGATATCGGCAATAAAATTGTATTTTAATGCCTAGGAACTAAAGAAAACGTAAATTTAATCAAAAATCTGTTTTGATCTACTTAACATCAAGTTCCTATCAACAAAAGAACAAAATTTGAGTTTAAACTTACATTTTTATATGATTCAGAAATAAAATCATATCTACCTTGACATTGAACTTGTTTTAGACGCATTAATATAAATAATTAATTAAATATTTATTAAATTGTTAAAAAATTGAGTAAATTACAATTTTTCAACATTTTATTTACAGTTATCACCGGAATAAAAAAAATTACGAGTAAAATAATCCGTTTTAAAACTAAAATCTTTAAAAAAAACACAAATATTCTACAATATTTGTTAATTTATGTCAGGTAGAGCCATCTGGTGCTCAGGTTGCGCGTGATAAATAGACTTCTTTCCCCAACACGATACGTCGATGAAGTCGTGCTCTGTGAAAAGCATAAACCGGTCTATCCTCTCACATTTCCAATAATTTCAAACAGATGGTGCTAAACACACAAAACTTCTTGTCCTCTATTTTACCATTCGAGCGCTAGTTGTAAACTTAAACAAGGTCAATTATTTAAAACTACCTTGAACAAAACAAAAATACATACACATGTTTCACATACTTTTCATGATGTGTAACGTTCTAAAAAAACGCTCCCAACTTTAATTTTCATTCAATTTGCTTCGAAATTCTAATTTTTTATGGAATTGAAAGAAATGTTACGGTTTCTTTTCAAAATTGATTGTCGTTGAACTTGGGGCGACCCAAAAACCAAGCAGCAACTAGTTTTCACCACCAAGGTAAACCAAACACGGCCAAAATGGTCGACCCCTTTTTACCTTTATGGTAAAGCAGTGTTCTCTGTGTGTGCACATGCACATCTCGAAAACTTTTCTATCGCGCACCCCCTTGCAACAATCGGCGGCGTTCACATGCCTCTCTCAGCGCGCCCCGCGCCGACAATTCGCTTAATGTTACAATCGGGGCGCACAATGCACGCCGCCCCGCCGTAAAGACCGGGCGCACCCCTTGCGCTCGCGCTAATAATGCGACAACCTAAATATATTATGTAAGTTTACACTCGGAATTGTCGCTCGACGCAGGCAGGCAGCAAAGGGGTGCTTGTCGCGATGCGCGAGACGCAAAAACCCGGGGGGCGATAGGTGATAACTACTGTTGACATATTGCTGAATCAATTATTATTGCTTCGCGCGTGCCTTTCGTGCGCGTTACATTGTTTGACGCGCTGCGTGCGTTCATTAGGCGCGCAAACTCGTTACACGGGCGCAAAAACTCCTCGTTTGATCTTTGTCTCTAACGATGTTGTGATTAAATTTGTTTGTTTCGCGTTGCGAGTCTTGGGTGAAACAGTGTCTGCATTGTGCTGCCATCAATGTCACAAAAACGAACTACGAATATAAACTTGATAAGAATGTGAATATTCATCTTTTTATGCATCAAAACACAAATAAACATAAAAACTTAAATATAAATAAAAAACACAACAAATTACGTTGTACAGCATAAAATCTGTATGATTAAACACCGAAATGACAATAATTTTCTTCATTACATCAAATTAAGTCTAAAGTGTCGACATTATCGACAAAAATAGAAAGGCAGTGACGAATCCAAACGTCTCAATGTCAAGTCTGTTGTGTTTACATTTTTATCGGTGTTGTCATTCTCATGCGACTACAAAACACTCAACTAGAATTTACGTTAAATTTTGTCGTATTTTTATGCATTAAATATTGACATGTGCATATTTACATGATTAAATCTGCTGAGAGTTAAACACACGGCATATCATACGCGTAAGTACCTAGAATGAACGTTAGCAATGCGAGTACATCCCTGATGTGACCGATAACATTATAAAAGTTTTGATTAAATACACGGTGACATAAAGAACAGGATGATGAAATCGACCCTGTGCCGTTCTGTGTTCAGATAGGATCAAAACAGGCCCAGCTTCAAAAAATTAAAAATCAGAGATGAAAAACGCATAAGTTTTTATTATTAAATAAATTAATGAATTATTTTTTATTTAAGTTGAATTTTCTTACAAAATTTCTTTTTTTTTTTTGTTGTAATCTTAAATTTCACACCTGGTTACATCACGATGACTATCAATTTCTTTCTGTTGTGAGTTAATCCCCGTGTCACAATAAGATTAAAGAGATTACCTATATCATCGTGTTTTTTGCGAGTTTTGGGCGCTTTCCTTGCGAAAATTGAGACATAAAGGTTCAATTACACTATTTACACGTTGGTACATTGTGTTTACACACTATTTTTGGGCTTTATCACATTGTGTGTCACCGAGATTCGAGTGCACGCCGAAATCTCTCAAGTGTGCAGCGCTATTTGCGCTCAAGTTCGCGTGAAATTTCGAACTTCTTATGAAATTATCGCACACAATGGGCCCGACAGAACTCGGTCGTAATGCGTGTTTTGTGCGACACCTTTTCAAGCTGATATTCTCAGTTCTCAGCCTAATGCAGCACGTTTTTTTTTTGTATTTCGATAAACTAGGTAAATATAAATTACATATTCTTGGAAATTTTGATAATAGAGATTTAATAATAATAAAAAAGTGAAAAAAAGTATTTTTTATGCTTTTATTTTGAAGGGTTTTTAATAAATCAAAATTTTGAATACTTCCTTAATGCTTACAGTGTTTTGATGTTAGCTGTCGTCTTAAAACGCGCCTGAATTCGCACAAGAATTGGTTAAGCACTTTTTAATTCAGTTCTTTATGCGTTTTTCCGTGCCTTTTATGCGCCTTTTACAACCCGGTCAACAAAAAGTGAAAAAAAAACTCCATAAATCTCCTCAAAAAAGTCGCCCACTTAAAAAACTCCGTAACGTTTATTTAATTTTCTCGATTTTTGACATTTCTGATCATTCACCGCATTCGGGCTTTCATCTACTCCTTGATAAATCTTTATTAACCACAAAAGGAAAACAAGATGTGAAAAGGGTCAACCGAAGTGAAAACCCGAGCCGTAACCGGCGTGCCGCGTGTGCAGAGGACAGATTAACCAGTCAGTAACCTGATATAAAATATAAATGTCAGATTAGCATCCTTTCTTTGCGCCCATGCCTCATGCGTCTTCTGTTCCCGGGCACCATCATCATGAATGAAGCACAAAAAACGCGTTTTTTTTTTCCAACCGGCTATTATGCGCCTTGTAAAAGTGCTTAAAAACGAAGCGCGCGAATAGAGAAGAGGTTTTGATATCTAGCTGAATCGCGTCGGATTGCCCGCATGCGGGCACGGAGGCAGCTTTTGTCTGGAGGATCCGATTCAGTTTTTCATTCATAATTCTGATCCGTGGCGCGCATTCAAAGGGTGTGTGTGCGTTTTGTGGGCATCGCGATATAGTTGCATAACACCGAATTGCTTGAATGGGTCTTGATTGTATCCGTCTGAATGGCACAACGCTTATATATAAATAAAAATAAAATCTTCAATCATTAAAACTCCAAATTTTGAATTTTTTAAGTTTTTATCGAAAAAAATTGATTGTTTTAGATTTTTTGCGCTTTCCGCATGATTAAGTATTAGTAATCGATGCTCAGAGGTTCCCAGGCGATACAGATCGCCGGTGTATTATCTGCTGGGCTCGGTTTTGTTGCATTACACACAGAAAAGTAGCGCTTTTTCAAGCACCTAATACGCTCTCTGCGCCTACTTTAAATTTCTCCACCACACCACGGACGGTGTGAGTTACATTAGACGACATTAGAGGACACCGAGATTATGCCTCAAAGGATATCGTTACATTCATCAGGCGTATCGCTATCCCGGCCAACTTGCGCCCCTCTTACCTAGCCGCGCCGCGCTGATAGATTTTGCGACAAAAGCGGGCGAGCCGAGCGACAAAGGCGACTAATGTTACACAAAAAGCGCCCGATGAAGGAAGATCGGCCGGTGATAGAGGACGAGGAAGGTAATGATATCCCGTTGCGAGATGTTTTGCTTCCTACGCACTCACATCTCGAAGTATACCTGTATGAAATCGCAAAAAAGAAAAAAACTTTGAAAAAAATGTCGAGCTGCAAAAAAAGTGAAATCTACTTAACGCAATAATAGCGACGTAATTTAATAAATTCTTAGGCTGTATGGTATTTAAT